CAACCACCACCACCACCAAAACAACAACGCTCTCGTAGTGGAGCCGATCGACTGTACCGGGACCACGCACCCATTCACCACCACCACCATCACACCACCACCACCATCACACCACCATCACACCACCACCATCACACCACCACCACTACTACCACCATCACACCACCACCATCACACCACCACCAACATCACACCACCACCACCACCATCACCACCATCACACCACCACCACCATCACACCACCACCACCATCACCACCATCACACCACCACCACCATCACACCACCACCAACACACCACCACCATCACACCACCACCACCATCACACCACCACCAACACACCACCACCATCACACCACCACCACCAAACCAACAGCAGCAGCAACACTCTCATTGTGGAGTGAAGCTGTTGTAACGGGGTCACACACCCAACAACCACTGCCCACGGAGCTCATGGTCCACCCTAAACCGCATCCGCACAAACCATGGCAGATGCGGATACCTGATGCACAAATGAGAAATTGAAAACTGTCCCAGTGTGCGACCGCGAGCATCCAGAACAGACTGTGCACGGCGTATAACGAGGCAATCGCCCGATACACGAATACGAAGGGAGTCATCACGGCACTCCTGCTCCTGTACACCAGCTGACGTACAGAAGAAGAAGACCACCATCACCACCACGACCACCACCACAACAACAAAGTTGTTGTACACGCCGCACACACGTGTAGCCATTTTTTTATTCACTGCTAGATGAGAACCACGGGGGGGGCTCTTTGAGCATGCTTCACCGCATAGGTCAGTGCCGGTTCGGGAGCATAGAATAACGGCACCGCACAGTACAACATTTGATTATTGTTCCACCATTGGAACCTCATTTGCCAGTAAAAAATATGATAATTGGTTTTTTACCCTTCTATCTGGCAACAAAACTGACACCTTTTTTACAAGGAGTCATGTTGGCATAGACCACAATACCTGCAGCAATGATGCAAACAAAAAACATAACTCTGATAATATATGCACTGTCCTTGAAGTTGATTGGTCCACACCCGAGACAGCTTTCCTTAGAGCCTTCCTTTCCTTAGAGCCTAGTCTCACATGGCGTCATCTGGTCCAACACCATGTGAGACTAGGCTCTAAGGAAAGCTGTCTCGGGTGTGGACCAATCAACTTCAAGGACAGTGCATATATTATCAGAGTTATGTTTTTTGTTTGCATTATGGCTGCAGGTATTGTGGTCTATGCAAACATGACTCCTTGTAAAAGAGGTGTCAGTTTTGTTGCCAGATAGAAGGGTAAAAAAACAATTATCACTGATTATTGTTGTTGTGTTGTTGTTGTTGCTGCTCCACGCTGCAGTTTGTGCGTGCTGATGGTCACCAATCCGAGTACTATCGGGGCCCTCAAGAAAAGTCCCGCACGCCTCCTGAGATGGAACACTCTCAAGGGACGGGAGGCGTGTGGTGAAATATGGTCAAACAACACCCGAGGCCTTCATCCAGCAGTGGATTGACAAGAACGTGCGTCCAGTTCGCTCCCAATTAATTATCAAGCGGGATCGCGGGATGGGGCAGGCCACGCTTTCCCACCTGATGATGGACGCTTGTGTGTGCGCCCGAAACGTCGTAATTTATTTTATTTTATTTTCTACCCACGTGACTTTACCGAAAGAACCAAAGAGCACGGATTCCTGCAGTCACGAAAGCTTCACATCAAGATCGAGTACTGTACTCTATCTACAAATGCGGCCGTTGCATTTGGTTCAATCTTTATTTTGGGTGCCAATGTCGTCCTCAATATAGCAGGCACCAGCGCACACAATGCTTCAAGTTGCCGTTGTCATGTCCACCCACCCATTGTTACCATGACCCCCCTCATCGGCCTGTGTGTATTGCACGCACAACCAGACACATCGTAAAGAAATAGCTTAACACCCGTCAAAGAATAAAATATCTACGGTGTTGTGTTCCTGAAATCCCCCCCCCCTCCCCACTTGCACAACATGCTAAGCTTCTGTGCTCTGGCACAGGAATTGAGGTTTTCTAACGGATATCAGTTGCGCAAGAACACGCAAACGCGTCGTGCCTGGCGCTCTCATGTGCAGTGTGTCTGTGTGTGTCTGTGTGTGTGTGTCTGTGTGTGTGTGTGTTGCTGTGTGTGTCTCTGTGTGTGTGTCTGTGTGTGTGTCTGTGTGTATGTGTGTGTCTGTGTGTGTGTGTGTTGCTGTGTGTGTCTCTGTGTGTGTGTCTGTGTGTGTGTCTGTGTGTGTCTGTGTGTGTGTCTGTGTGTGTGTCTGTGTGTGTGTGTATGTGTGTGTGCGTCTGTGTGTGTGTGTATGTGTGTGTGCGTCTGTGTGTGTGTCTGTGTGTGTCTGTTTGTCTGTGTGTGTGTGTCTGTGTGTGTGTCTGTGTGTGTGTGTCTGTGTGTGTCTGTGTGTGTGACTGTTTGTCTGTCTGTGTGTGTGTGCGTCTGTGTGTGTCTGTGTGTGTGTGTCTGTGTGTGTCTGTGTGTGTGTCTGTGTGTGTGTGTCTGTGTGTGTGTGTCTGTGTGTGTGTCTGTGTGTGCACTTACTTATAGTGAGGAGCGGTGGGTGTAGTGGTTAGCGATGCGCTGCGCTACGAACCCGTCGACCCGGGTTCGATTCTCGCTCACGCCCAACACCGGTGACGATTATCTGAACCGGTCCTGGGCCTCCCCTAGGTCGACTCAGCCTCAAATGAGTACCTGGTGCGATGTATAAACATTGTCACTGGGGAGACAAAGGCGGTCGGGCTTGGTGCTGGCCACCCACCCCCTCGTGTGCCGTGCCGGCCTTCATAGGTGCTCGCTAACAGCACTTGCCCGTACAGTCTGTTAAGGCTACACGGGGGGTCTTTGTCCTGGTTGCTCTCCAACAACAACGAAGGGCAGAGGAGCGACGCTCACAACAACGTGCAGAGCGCCGGGTGGCTAAAGTGCAGCAAGTTGGCACAGTAGGGGGTACAGCAGGTGCATCTACCAGTCATCTCAGTCGGTCAACCCATGGCATCTGGGTTTGTCCCGGGACCTCCTGCCAGCGAGCCTTCGACACTTCACGTGGCCTCAAAGTGCACCTGGCCTGGCACAGGCGCCGTTGTGAAATCATCGTCACTTGATGGCGAATGGCGGGGTGTTGGTATTGGTGTGTGTGTGCGTGGTGTCACCCGCACACAGAAATTAGTTAAGGAGCAACCCTGAAATTCCTTTGTCCGGGGCGTGGGAAAATATTGTTCTTCCCCGCCTGGTACATCACAATGTACATCACAATGTGCCAGGACACCCCTTGAAGCAGGTACTTAAAGCGCAGGCTTTCCTGCACAATTAAAAAATATTGTATTGTTATTAAGACAATTGTTTTACGTATGTGCTATGAAGCAGGACAATTGCACAAAACGTCCCCTATTGTAGCACGGCACAATATATATTTTTGCCTTTTAAGGCCGCGGTGTTTATTGACAAACGTGTTGAGTTATTTAAAATAAAACAATATACAAATGAAGATATAGGCCCCCATGCCATCGTCTTCTTTCCGCATGAAGACTAAAAATGTGGACGGACAGATGGTAACGCACGGGGTGGGAGTGTAAGGCAGATTGCCGGCTTCTTCACTTTGCTACTTAAATTCTCCACGACGACATCGGGTACCGTAGCCAACAACATCAGCCGCAATTCAAGCGTCGGCCGTCAAAACCCGCTCCTCGGATGAGCACGGTGGGTTACGTACGGTACAAAAGAAGTTCTGCACGGTCGTACGCGCGTGTGTGCGCGCACGCAAACAAGAGCTATAGCGGAATTCACGATAGACACAAAATCGCATCGTGTCAATACTCGGAGCACTTAACATTTGTTTAAAGATTAACTTTGTGTCATGTGCCCCCCCCCCTCCTCCTCCTTCAAGTCTTCATGCCCCCCCCCCTCCCACCCCCCTTTTAAGGCAAGGTCACACTGCAACGTTGACTTGGATGGACCGGAGTGGTTTATTGTCATTGTACCGTCGCGATACGAGTGGCTCGTGCCTGTCGAATGATTAATTTTACAAGACGGACAAAGTTGTGTGGGTTCTATGCGTTTGGTTACGTGGCTAAAGGATGATTCAATTTGCAGCCTTGCCATAACATTTAGCCACTGTAAAGGTTCAACGTCCATTAAAATACATTCCCTGTTCTAGATTTGAAGCTTTCGTGACTGCTAGACATTCATACTCTTTGTTTTTTGTTCGGTAAAGTCACGTAGGCAAAAAATAAAATAAATGAAAACAACTAAATTAAATCACGACGTTTCGGGCGCAACACAAGCGTCCTTCTTCAGGTGGGGACAACGTAGCGAACACACAACCGCTTAAGTGTGCGCGACACACTTAAGCGGTTGTGCTTTCGTTACGTTTTCATTTATTTTATTTTTTACCTACGTGGCTTTACCGAAAAAACCAAAGTGTATATTCCCTGTGTTGAATCGGGCATACGAACATGATTTGTGATGTTTGGAGGGTTGGTGTCGTGGTTATCTCCTGCTGCACTATAAACCTGGCGGCCCGAGTTCTATTCCCCGTTATGGCTCACATCAGTGGCAAGTGATTTCTGAACCGGTTCCTGGACACTGCTCATTTTGTAAGAACTTGCACCCACCAGCGTGGTGAAGTATAGTTGAACAATCCCCATGCCAGACACAGTTTTGAGAGGCCTTAATCCAGCAATGGATTGACAAAAGTCGGTAGATCACTATTTTAATCATTAATGAAATCTCAGTGTAGCCAACATTGCGTTCGTGATTAATAACTACAATGATTTACAGCCTGTTTGAGACAGCTTTCGGAGGATTTCGTCCATCAATGGATTGATCATGGCAGATGATGAACGATTAATTAAACCTTTTGCATTTGCTTGCAAAGGACTACACCCTGCAGGGGAACGATCATCGTTGATGCTGATGATGATGAATAATCCCTCATGCCCTTGTCTTTTTAATTCTCGTTTCAGGCGACCTTTGACCCAGAAGTATTTTTCAACGTATTGCTCCCTCCAGTAATCTTCTACGCCGGGTACAGCCTCAAGAGGGTACGTCACATTAACCTCCGCTCTTTTCCTGCAATACACAGAAAACCTGTACAACAACAACAACAACAAAAGCAACCATGCTGCCCTGTACAAATTATTCGAAAGCCATCAACAGCTCCTGAAGAAATGCATTCCCAGTGAAACATGCCAATGTTGGGGGCACCGTTGGCCCAACGTTCCACACGAACTTGGTTGTGGTCCTCCTGTCTTGTGTCACCGGCAAAATAAATGTGAGTGCATGTGGTCGAATGGCAGCAGCAACAGCAGCAGCAGTGATGCGGAGAGAGACGACTGTACATTGGTTGAATCCTTATTGGGACTCATCATTACACCGCAGTCACAAAAGCTCACTACCGCAAAGTTTACCTGTGGGAAGCAAATATCGTAATTGCCATCGTTATAACCATCATTGTCAGCGTAAGAATGAGCGGGCGCATTGGGAATTAATGTAATTGGAAATGTAGCCCTATTATTGTGCAAACTTAGTGAAACATGAGCCTGGTTCGAGTGCCACTGGTGAGGCAGGTTAGGCCTGGTGTGAAATGCTCTGTGCAAGGTGCCGGATTTCAGAAAAACAAACAGCAGCTCCGTCTCACTCGGAATTGTAATTCTGGTCATTTGTAAATTAGTACAGTTTTACATTCGTGCCATAGAAGGGAAATAATAAAATAATAAAAATAAAACATAATAAAATAATTCTCACGACGTTTCGGCCACAACGCAAGCAGCCGTCCTCAGGTGAAGAACAGGTCCTATCGGGAAGACAGCGTCTGAATTAAACACCACCAGGCTTGGAGCGTATATTTAAGCTGGGTTGGAGGGGGAAGCGCGCCTTGACAAAATAATTTGCATATCAAGAGGAATTTAGCATATTTATGGGAAATACAGATTATGTTTTATTTTTATTATTTTATTATTTCCCTTCTACGTGACTTTACCGAATAAACCAAGAAGATGAATCCCTGCAGTCACGAAAGCTTTAAATCGAAATTCGTGCCATACTTAGCTTTGCGGTAGCACAACATTATCTGTACTAGGTTCACAGTAGCGGCCGATAATTGCCATGTGTAAATGCAACTAAGTGATTTGCGGTGTTTCATTTTTAATATTTGGTGACTTTGGACCGTCACGCCGGCAGACAATAGCCCGCTATTGCCAATGACGTCAGGCGGATCTTTAACATCCACTGTGAAGCAGACGGTGCAAGATTTATGCCACGGTTAATTATACAACGGCGGAATTAACCGGGGTTCAAACCGCGAAACCTCTGGAACAAGCGGCGACCGCGCTACCGCTGAGCCGTGTAACTGGCCCGGTACCGTCACACGTCTCTCGCGAGCTCGGCAGGGGTTTGAGCCTGGACAGCGATTGGATGGGTGGCCACCATGCACAGAGGTTGTGCCACACAGGGCTATAGAGAGCGGCGCAGCGTGTGCGGCGGTCGACGTCATCGCCTTGGCCAAAGAGGCTTGCTTTTGTGAGCGGTGGGGTTTTTATGGCCAGGTTTCGGATAACCGCTTGGATCAATTCGGCCAGTTTTCCCGAGAGTAAGTCACCAATAACAACAGCAGCAACAACAACAACGCAGCTTCGTACTAAAATGTCACTCGTATTGGGTCGTCTTTCATGAGCGTTATTGGGAATCCCGCGATCGGAGACCGACAAAGACGGACACAGCCAATGCATCGACGCGTTTTCACTTTTAAGTTTGGTCCTGTTAGGCAAGAGAACACGGAGGCGGTGGCGGTGGTGGTGGCGATGAGAGGTCCCATCTGCTTGGGCGCATCCAGCCATCAATGGGGCTGAGAGCAAATAGATGCGCAGGCGAGCTGGCAGTTCTTACAAAGAAAGGGCCAGCAGGGGTTTACAGAAGCGTGTGGGGCTTCAGTGACAGAACAAACACGGCCCACGATATCACGTGAGGACAGCGAGCGCCGGGGATAGTGAGAACGCTCAAAGCAAAAGATGGAGACGATTGTGAACCGAGGCATCCGCTGTGCGGCAAAAACGGATTTGCGAGTCGAGGAATTCAACGTTATACGGAAACGATCTATATTTGACATCCAACGGAAGATGAAAAACACAGCATCTGAGTGCAAATAACAAAAGGCAAAAGCTGTTTGTGGGTGTGCGCGTTTAAAACGGTTGCCTCTGACTGAACCCCTCAGGATGCTGCCCGGTGTTGTCCGATCTCGGAAGTTAAGTGGGATTGAGCCTGGATAGTGCTGGGATAGATATCCGCTATGCGCCAACAGCTTATATCAATGGAGAGAGTAAGCGAGTTTGACTTTGACTGACTAGAAATAATAAAATAATAAAAATAAAACACAACAAAATAATTCTCACGACGTTTCGACCACAACGCAAGCAGCCGTCCTCAGGTGAAGAACAGGTCTGTCGGAAAGACAGACCTGTTCTTCGGAAAGACAGACCTGTTCTTCACCTGAGGACGGCTGCTTGCGTTGTGGCCGAAACGTCGTGAGAATTGTATTTTATTATGTTTTATTTTCATTATTTTATTATTTCCCTTCTACGGGACTTTACCGAAAGAACCAAGAAGATGAATCCCTGCATTCACAAAAGCTTCAAATCGAAATTTGACTGACTACTTTTGTCATAAAGTCGTCTCGGAGCCAGCCTCGTGGCTTGCCCTGGGGGGGGGCTGGATGGGGGCTGGACTTGTTCCCACTGCCGAGTCAGCGACGTGTCCCCAGCGGCAGCAGCGCGTTCGCCGCTTGCCGTGGAGGTTTGCGGTTCGAAGCCGGCAGGCCGCCCTGGATATCGCTCGCCGCGAGTGTCGACCGCAGTAGTAATGATGATGATAGTAACAACAATAATAATAATGCAACGCGCCGTCCGCTTCGCTCAATGAACGGCAGGTGATACCGTGTCACGTCATTCGAAATGAGGAGGCCATCGTGTGCCACCACCGTCATCGTTCGAGTATGGTAAATTAGAAAAAATGTTCTTGCAAACGACTCAATTGGGATAACACGCAAGTAACGTTACCCCCACACCCCCCCACTGTGAAAAATTGGCAAGACCATTTCGATACTAGAGTTGAGACTCAGTGAGGCTGTTCTGGGTAAACACGCGGAGTAATAATAATGACGATGATTGATATATAACAATCATCATCACGTTTGTCTTTTTCTTTGCAGCGGCACTTTTTCCGAAACCTGGGTTCAATCCTGACATACGCATTCCTGGGCACCGCGATATCCTGCATCATCATTGGGTAAGAGATTTCCCCCCCCCTCCACCTCCACCCCTTCCTCCCCCCCACTGCAGACTCTGACCCTTGACCCTGACGACGGCTGCCCCCCCCCCTTCTTCCTCTCCCATCCTCCCTGCATCCCTCACAGGAGTAGAGTGACCGCTTGTCTGGACCATTCTCACTCAGAGGGCCCTTTGTTGTCCAATAACAAGCCTTGCCGCGTCACTCGCAAGGAATTTGGACGTTCAGCCGCAATCACAGCCCACAAAACTGCTCTTTATGTCCAATTCCTTTTTTTTGTGAACACGTGCGTGACTTCACCGTTGAAAAATTTATTATTTTTTGAATGCTTTGGTTTTTGGCCCTTTTTTTTGGCGAATTCCACTTTTAGAGACGGATACATTTAACAACAACAATAAAAAGTTGGCCTTTTGTTTGGGTGGAATGGGTTATTTTAATTTTATTTTTAAAGCAGGCAGTTAGAAACACACAAACAAAAATCCATATATAGGCAGCCCACTGGTATAACAGGGAGACATGATGGAGAAAAACACATTTTACTTCAAAGAATCCGCGCATCTCTCACCAATTTCAGTGCACTCCTAAAATCGTTGAACACTCTCCCACTTAATCAGCTGTCGAGAAGTTATAAATCAGCGGGGTATCTATAAATGGATCTCCCTGTTGCAAAAAACATTCGGCTCCACACTACTCCAGTGCTATTACGCTGAGGCTCAATCCATATGAAGCCCTTTGTCTATCCACTGCTGGATGAAGGCTTTCCTCACACTGTGTCAGTCGTGGTGCTGGGGAGGCGGGAGCAGGGGGTGGGGGTGGTTGTTTGACCATACTTCACCACGCCTGTCATGGCGGATTAGCTGGACGTCTGGATATGACTCATCGGTGATGTTCGCTGTGGCCGCTAATCAAACTCGGGTTCACAACAGAGTGCACTAACCGCTGCACCACCACTCCCCCCTCCCCCACACTTGTTTCCCATTTCTTATCCACAAAAGTTCGGATATAAACTATTAAGAGATTTTTTCAGAACGACCTGGCCACGAATGCCAGCTCAACGAAGTGGCTGATTGTGTGAATATAGAAGCCACATTCTCGAAGCGCGTGTTGATTATTAATGTGGAGGGAAAAACCTGGAGGAGCCGGAGAAAAATCCACGTGACCACGGGGAGAGAGAGAGACATACACACTCCAAATATACAGCAGCAGGCGTCAGGCTCGGGATCGAACCCACTACATATTGTTGTCCTTCCCCACACCTCCGATTAGCGCGGTTGGCTACGTATGGTGTGAAAGAAGTTCAAAATACATACATACTACCTCCTGCATACCAGGCGAGGGAGTAAACACCTCGCCACTGTGGCGGCCTCAAGCTATCACTCGCCGCTGACGTGAGCCATGGATGGGACTCGGGTCGCCGGCCTTGTGACCGCGGCTCGCTGTACCACCGCTCGCGTCTCACCGAATCCCTGCGATTGACGTGACCGATCTGCTGGATGCCCAGAGTCTGTGTGGCGTGGGGCGGTGATTTGGAAAGGTGACACGCGGTGGGCTTGGAATCAATTATACATCGGCCGTGTCGGGTGCCGCGGTGGCAAGGCAGCCGCGGCGCAGAAGGCAAAAAAATCGTCGCGTGGCCCGGAGTTGCGGGGCGATTCCCCGCGCGCTCAAACTTCCGCACCACCCCCGCTCGCTTCAGTCGCGTCTCGACGACCCAATACCGCCGGAAGAAACGTTTCGAAGTTTACTGAAGCGAAAGGATTTTTTTCTATTTTCGGTCGATGGCTTTAGGCGCCACGGTGGTGAGATCTTAACGACCCCGCCTAGTATGCAGGAGCTCGTGGGTTCAACCCCGACCGTGACGCCTGTTGTACATTTGGAGTTTGCGCGTCTCTCTCCGCGTGGTCGCGTGGCTTTTTGAGTCCACGAAGTGAACGGCGCTCTGTCTCGGAGGTTATCAAACGGATTTTGAAAATGGAGGCGTAAATATGCGGCGCTTTGATTAACGCCACTAAATGACCGCACACACACAAGGAGATTGACTCAACTGTCGCGGTGCTGCAATCAGCTTAAACGTGCATTTTTTTCAAATCCCAAAACCGTATCGCTGTTTTCGGGGCAAGTAAAAGCTGTTCATATTTAAACGTATAAATAAAGAATAAACATCGAGCTCTCCTTCATGCAGTGAGACCCCTGGACGTGGAGACGCACGAAGGAGACCGAACGTTCCGCATCAAACCCCTTCGCTCTTGAGAGAGACAGAGTTCACTTCCCTGCTCGGAGTTCAAACCCAAACCACCATCCCCCCCTCCTCCCACCCCACGGCAGGGGGTCGGCAACCCGCGGCTCCGGGCCTGCGGTGCGCCTCTTTGAGGGCTGCTTCGCGATGTTTGTTTATGAAGGAACCGCCAGCGTCCCGTGATGCACCACATGAATTGCGGCGCTTGAGATATCGAGGTTTAATTTTTTTTTACCGAATTCCAAAAAAAGTCTCCTCTTGTTATATTGGTTGGCGACCCCCCTGTCCTACAGGGATGATTACCGCTTCTGAAGGCCAGGAAACCGGTATTTTGTTCCCAGTGGAGCCTTATTTAGGAAGGGGTCGCCATTCCTATGCTTTACCCCACCACTCGTGACCGGCCTGTAGACTCACCTGCGACGAACGCCAAAAAAAACCTGGCCCATGATTTCGTTTTTGTTTCAAACGCCGCGCCAAGAAGTGGAATCGGGCCGGCCATCTCTGGATCGCAAGTCCAGTGCGCTACCCATTAAACCACCATGGCAGCTGCCTTCGACAATTCTCTGTTAAATACTGGAGAACGTTTCCTTCACTGCTCTAAGTTATCTTCCATTTTAACAACACTACCCAAAAGGTCGATAAAGCAAAGCACCGCTTTGTGGGAATGACAGCAGCGGCTTGTCCCGCGGAGAGACTCAAGGTGTGCATTGCGTAGGAGGCACGCTACGAATGATAATGCACCTAATAATTTACGAACTTGACCTCGCAGTAGGAACGTGGAATTTCCACCGCTGGCTCGCAGGCCGTCGACACGATGCCGAGTGCCGTTCAGCAGCCCGACAGCGCAAGGGGGGACTTTGATGATTTAATATTTATTTTTTATGAACACTGCTGCCGGAAATTTTTAGTTCCAAACGGAAGAGCTCGTGCCACCCCCGCACACGAACTTGCCCGAGGCGTCGCTCGCCACGTCGTCGTTACTACTTTCGGAGAATTTTTCCGTCGCTCGTGTGCGCTCGCCCACGTTGGCTCCCCCACCCCCAAGGGCGTTTTTTTTTTTACGTCGCCACTGTGGTAGCGGCTCCTTCACGAAAAGGGAAGCGAAAGAGAAGATGGAGAGGGCCTGAGGGCCATTGGCATGTTCGCCCTGTGCAGGAACAGCAACGCCCATCTTCACTTTCATTTCAGTGCCTCTTTCACCGGTGATGCAATGGTAAGCACGCCGTGCCGTAAACTCGGCAACCTCGGTTCGACTCCTGGCCATGGCTCACATCAGTGGCGAGTAATATCTGTTTCCGATATGGCCAGATCTCCGAAGCTAAGCAGGGTTTAAGCCTGGATAGTGCTTGGATGAGCGACCTTAATGCCCATTCTAGACTACTTGGAGCCTACATTATCACACCATGGCTCCATCCCTCCACGGTCCATCAACCCAGCCACCAAGTCCCTGGATTTACACCCATGTCATTTACATGAATGCAACAACCGCCGACAATGACATTGTATTTCGATTTAAAGCTTTCGTGACTGCAGGGATTCATCTTCTTGGTTCTTTCGGTAAAGTCACGTAGAATGGAAATAATAAAATAATAAAAATAAAAACATAATAAAATAATTCTCACGACGTTTCGGCCACAACACAAGCAGCCGTCCTCAGGTGAAGAACAGGTCTGTCGATAAGACATTTCCATTCTACATGACTTTACCGAAAGAACCAACAAAATGACATTGTATCGACTAATATTGCAGACGTTGAATAATCTTGAATGTAGGAAACACGACAGTCTACAGCACCTTGTCAATCCACTGCTGGATGAAGGCCTCCGCTACGCCGCGTCAGTCACTGAGGTTGTATGGCCTTACTTCCCCACGCTGGTCAGTGCGGGTTAGTGCAGTGTAGAAAGGGGGTGATGTCAGCCGTGGCTGCATATCGAACTCAGGTTGCCTGGTTCGTAGTGCAGCGGGGCTGACAAAAAAACATTTTTAACCGTGGTCGCGTTTCACAATTTCTTGATTATTTTTTCGCGTGTGTTCTCCGTCGCTGTTGTAAATGATGGGAAGCAGATTCTTATTTTTTTGGCTCCCATTTTGTGTGAGCAAAACAGCGCCGCCCGTTCGAGGTGCGGCCGCGAAGTGAAACAACGCAGCAACGCCGTGCAAGGCGACAATATGCAGAAACCCGTTGGCAGGAGGAGCCAGTCGCCCAGCTTTTAGGAATCGCTCGGTTCCAAGAATACTCTTGAAATGTTCGACGAGGTTATAACGATTGAATCCATCAAAACGGAGCTCCCCCCCCCCCACATCACTTTCGGGAAATTGCACAGATTGATCTTTGACGCGTTTTACCCTTCAAATTATTGACGCGCGGTGATGGAGCGTGCGTGAAATGCTTGGGCGATCGCGGCGTCGGGCACGCCGCCGCCACCGCCGCCGCCACTTAGGTCTGAAAGCAAACATGGGCAGATCTCCCTGCTGCTGCTGCTGCGTCCCATGAGTCCATCATCAGCCGATTGGATTTCGAGACCGATATCATCAAGCGGCATTTGTGTAAGCGAGCAAACCCTGCACCGGTTTCAACCTTCCGGGTCTCATCAGCAGAGTCAGGCTTAAATTTCGATTTAAAGCTTTCGTGACTGCAGGGATTCATCTTCTTGGTTCTTTCGGTAAAGTCACGTTGAAGGGAAACAATAAAATAATAAAACATAATAAAATACAATTCTCACGACGTTTTGGCCACAACGCAATGAGGACGGCTGCTTGCGTTGTGGCCGAAACGTCGTGAGAATTATTTATTATGTTTTATTTTTATTATTTCCCTTCTACGTGATTTTACCGAAAGAACAAAGAAGAAGAGTCAGGATTGTTAAATCATAATTTAGATGTATACGACGCCCTTGAGCAATGGATCACAGAGCGCCATGCGTGTAAAGGAGGACAGCAAGTGAGACGTGACCGAGGAGAGAAAGACTAACCAGGCGACATGAAGAGCCAGAGAGAGAGAGAGAGTGATGGACGTTGTAAACAGCTGGTGGGGTCTTTGGCGGCGACTTAGGAGGTCTCCAATGGACTGCGAGTCCCTGACCTCATAGGGCAGGGAATTCCGGAGCCGGGGCGTCGTGCGGACAAAAGTCTGGTGGGCACCCCGGGGTCGGAGCCGGGTAGCGCGCGGCGGGTGGATGGATCTCAGCGAATCTCGGTGGAGGGAGTGCGAGGCCGGATCAGCTCGTGGACGTGTGTTTGACGAGCGAGCCCGTTTCGAGCCTAGAGCACCGGTAGGAAAATCTTGAACTCGGCGGGGGTTTGAACCGGGAGTCGACGCAGAGAGACCGCGAGCAGTGGCGTGAGAGACGGTGCGATTGAAGGACATGGCGGGCGCGTTTCGGACGGGCCGCAGGCTACTCGGGAGGTCAATTTAGGGCTCTTGACAGTAAGGCGTCGCAACGGTCAATAGTCAGATGCCATGGCCGGATGTTATCGGCAAGAGCGCTCCATGTAAATGATGGGGCCCCGTCCGATGCACGAAGCAGTGCCGTGTAAAATTCCACATACGTCCGTAGATTCGTCATCATTATCATCAGCAGCATCATCATCAGCCGTGGTCAATCCACTGCTGGATGGAAGCCTCCCCCAAGCTCGCGTCACCTCCCGCGATCCTGCAATGAGATCGTGCACCCAGCACCTGCACCCGGAACCCGTTTCATCGCTCCATCTCCCCGGCGGATGGCCTCTTTGAGACGCATTTCCCGTCCTTGGCTGTCGCTCTATTCGTGTTTTTTTTTGTTGGATGTCGTCCATCGCCCTTTCGAGCAATGACGCGTCTCTTCCCACGCCCCGCTTTCTTTCCTTAATTAGTCGGGTGGTGATGTCACTAGCCTGTGCGTGTGTGCGTCTTCTCTCATCCCATGTGTTCATCTTTCTGCCAACTCTGTCTGTAATTCGTAGAATGCGTTTCTCCCTGCCTCTCCGTTGCACGCTTTTCAATTTTCGTTCCGGATTCGACGCGAGTGACCGTGGCGCTTTTGAGCCATGCGTCATAGCAGGCGGTGGCAGGCACCGGCAAAAAAAAAATTTGCATTTCTTCTTTAGATAAAAGTTTAAGAAATAAAGACAACGTTCGCTCTTTAGTTGACGTGGCATCTTATTTTATAATATCACTGTGAATACAAATTAGTTTGTTTAAGGACGGCATTTGTGATTATTGGAGGGTTTGTCTGTTACTCAATAGCTACTATTCTTGTAACTATTCATATGCCGATTTAAAAAAAAAATTATTTTCTTAGGAAACATAAAAAAAAACATTTGGGTAAAATGTAGACTCCATCTCTTACTCTCTTTATGGTCTCTCCATGCAATATTATTGATATGCTATGAAGAACGGCCATTGTCTACATCACATTACTACTATAATGAGCCAATAATGTCTTGTTTGTGTGTAACGCGCGTGACGTCACTCCACATTCCGCACCCCCCCCCCTAATTAATATTCATGAGCGATTGGATTTTTACACTCACGCAGAAGGTCGAGCGGAAATAAAAAATAATTTTACGCAAGTTCTCTTTAAGTTTCACGTTTCTTTATTGAAAGTAAATCTAATAAGTAATTCTACGCAGCAACAAAGTGCATTTGGTGTCTTTATTTATTTCTTCAGCACTTGAGACAAAAGGTTAGTCTAATTTATGGTTCTACATTATGGTAAAATAGACATTTTTACGTGTGATCGATTTTCAATTTATTTCAACCCCAGCGACCGAAAGCAGAAGAGAATAAATTATCAGAGCAGTGAATTTGAACAAATTGAAGGTCAGTTATATACAGAAATCCACGTGACCACGGGGAGAACATGCAAACTTCAAATATACAGGCGTCAGGGGTCGGGATTGAACCCATGATCCTGTATACCAGGCAAAGTAGTTAACATCTCACCACCTTGGCGCCCCGATGCTAGTGACCCGGTGCTTTCAAAGGCAAGGTAGGTGGGTCACGTCAGCATTTGTTTTTACTCTCCAACCCCACAAGGCTACGAGGTGGTCAGGATATGGCCCTACAGCAATTTCTATCCGTCCCCAAATCACAGCTCGTTGATGTTTTGAGACAATTTTGTCAGAACGTTCGCATTAAACCAGGGTTTCCTCTGGCTGGGAGCAAGCGATGTGTACGTGACCCCTACATGACCCCCGTGTGACCCCTACGTGACCCCCGCGTGACCCCCGCATGCCGCTCCTCTGTGACTCTCCAGGCTCATCGTCTACGGCTTCACGCAGATCCTCGTCGCCATGGGGCAGCAACGCAGCAGCGGATTCTACTTCAACGACTGCCTCTTCTTCGGCGCCATCGTGTCTGCCACTGACCCAGGTGGCGCCACCCCCGCGACCCGAGCACAGGGCCTGACCCCTTTCCCTCTCGGCCTGCGCCTAACGCAAGCGCTAACTCGCTCTCTCAAACCATAACCCTGGCCCTCCCTATGACCCTAACGCAAGACCTGACCCTCGCTCTCACCTTGACCCTGACCCAAGTCCAAACCTTCGTTCTCTCCCAAACCCTGACCCGAATACAATGCGCTGGCCCCCACTCCCTGCCTCAAGTCCTTCCTTCAGCGTGCTGCTGGAGGTAGGGAGGGAGTGCCTCTCTCTGTGTGAGTGTCGCCCGTGTCTCTCTGGTGCCACCTGGTGTCGTCACGTGGGGTCGCCACGTGGTGTCGCCACAGCGGCAACGTTGGAAGTCTGGTGCGGATGACCGCGTGTGTGCGTGCCTGTGGGGAGCGGTGGTGTAGCGGTTAGCGCTACGCTGCGCTGCGAACCCGTGTTCGATTCCCGCTCACGGCCACCACCGGTGACGATTATCTGAACCGGTCCTGGGCCCTCCCCTAGGTCGACTCGGCCTCAAATGAGTGCCCGGTGCGGTGTGTAAACATCGCCACTTGGTAGACACAGGCGACCGGGCGATCGTTCTGGCCACCCCACCCCTTTGCACGTCGTGCCGGACTTCATAAGGTGCCACTCGCTAACATCGCTTGTCACCAGCGGTCTGTTAAGGCCACGTGGGTTGATCTTTGTCTCTGTGTGCCGTACGCCCCTGGCAGTGACCGTCCTGGCGATCTTCCAGGACCTGCGGGTGGACGTGGATCTGTACGCGCTGCTCTTCGGAGAGAGCGTCCTCAACGATGCCGTGGCCATCGTGCTCGCATCGTGAGCCTCCACACACACACGCACACGCAAAGAGAAATATACCCCGTGTAGTCCACATACGGAGGCCAACAAGGCACACGGAGGTCGGTGCGGACAGAGTTTGCTTGCGCTGAACCAATGCCGCTGGAATCGTGGACTCCTGGGAGGCCAGAAGGCCGATGGGACATGTGGAGGGCCACATTTGGGAAGGAGGTGAATCGTTCGCTTGTTCATCATCCACACCGGCGCTCGCGATTATTTCGTGTTCAACTTTAACTCGCCACCCTGCCGAGTTAACACGGTGGCGAGAAGTGAACTACCTTGCCTTGTATGCAGGTCGTGGGTTCGATACTGACCCTGACGCCTGCTGTATATTTGGAGTTTGCACGTTCTCCCCGTGGTCGTGTAGATTTTTATCTGGGGTCCTCCGGTCCCCCCCCCCCCCCCTACGTTTAGAATCAACGTCACGCATTTAGAGTATTCGGCCGATTTAAAGTTCCACGTTACGATAAGCCCACTTCGTTGAGCAATCATTTGCAGGTCGCTTCTGAAAAAGGGGCTGCGTAGCTGAGTGCAGCCTTATCTGGTGAAACCACAAATTATTTAGACAATTTTTTTGGGTTACTTTTATTGAGTTGGATAGTTCAACGGGCAACCTCACAGCTGGCTGTGTCACCTGACGTGCTGTGATGACCAGTCACCCCCCACGCCCCCCACACAGCTCCATCGCGCTGTACAGCCCCGCGTCGGGGAACCCACACTCGTTTGACGCCAGGGCCTTCTTCAGCGCCGTCGGCCACTTCGTGGGCGTCTTCAGCGGCTCTTTCGCCATGGGGGCCTCCACCGCCGTGCTCACCGCCCTCATATCCTCGTACGCGCACGTCTTGGTGCGGGCGGCGCTGTTGTCGCACGGTGCTCATCGTTCAGCCCCTATCGCCGCTCCGAGACGTCTGCAAGGCGCAGGGTGGGTGGTCCCGTTCGCCGCCGAATCTCGGGACGTCACGATCCATGGGCAGATGGCCCCGTAGGTGTCCACTGCACATTTTTGTCATTTGTTTTCCACTTTCCTCTCTTGTCTTGTCGTGCCAATGTGCTCGAGTAGTGCTACATGTCGTCGTCAAGCCGTTCCCTGTCAGGTCCTCCTCTCTTTCTCGTTCCTTACATTTTTCCGAACAACAACAACATGCTTGAAATGTTCCTGTTGTTGTCTATCCCACGTGTGTCCAAATAGTGCCATTATCCTTCTCATCACTGCCTGCATCATCAGTTTGTCTTCTTCAATGTGCAACCTTTTTCTTGCTTCTGCGTTGATCACTCTTTGGGTCCAGTTGAGATGCAGTATCCTTCTGTAGCAATACATTTCAAATACTGACCAAAAGCGGTTAGCGTTGTTTTTAAAGACATTGTACTCACCGCAGAGAACCGTAGCGACACGACCGCACTCTATGACAGCTGGCGCCAAACTGTGCCACACGCCCTCCCGCATGGCCTTGTGGGAGTCTCGGTACGTCTTCCGACCTGAAGACGTTGTTCTTCCGATCCCGTTCTGACGACGTACACAAATGGGGAAGGGTTAATCGGCGGTGACGCCAGGCCGTGAGCAACTCGACGAGGTGGCGGTAACATCCTTAACCGCGCGACCTCCGACCTCGGCCGCTGCCCCCCCACCCCCCCATCGCCCCTCCGCCCCCCGCGCATCTCACATCACCAAGTTCACGAAGCTGCGGGAGTTTGTGCTGCTTGAGACGGCGTTGTTCTTCCTGCTGTCGTGGAGCACCTTCCTGCTGGCCGAGGCCTGCGGGATGACAGGTGAGCGACCCGCACTGCACCGCCAATCAACATCAACATCATCTTGGTTCTTTCGGTAAAGTCACGTAGAATGGAAATAATAAAATAATAAAAATCAAACATAATAATACAATTCTCACGACGTTTCGGCCACAACGCAAGCAGCCGTCCTCAGGCGAAGAACAGGTCCGTCGATAAGGCAGTGACTTTACCATTATGTTTAATTGTTATTATTTTATTATTTCCATTCTACGTGACTTTACCGAAAGAACCAAGAAGATGAATCCCTGCAGTCACGAAAGCTTCAAATCGAAACATCAACATCATCATCATCGTTTGAACGCGTACAGCTTTCGCGACAGATTACTCGCCATAATATTGGTCGTGAAAGCGCTCCTGTGGCCGTCTGGAACGCTCTTCCTTCCTATATTAGGAATGCACTGTGGAGCTGTGCACTTTTCAATCTAGATTGAAAACCCACTTCTTTAGAACTGCTTCTTGTGTTTAATTGTCCTTCCCCCCGCACCTCCGATTACCACGATTGACTACGTACGGTGCGAAAGAAGTTCAACATACATACATAGATAATGGGGTGTTTTTTTGGGTTAGATTGCTTAAATCTAAATGTGCCGTAAACCCACCTCCACACGACGCAGCCGATTAGTAAGAGGTCTCCGTTGTGATCGTGGTGGTGGTGGCGGTGGCGGTGGTGCAGGGATCGTGGCGGTGCTGTTCTGCGGCATCGTGCAGGCGCACTACACCTACAACAACCTGTCGGAGGAGTCGCGGCTCAGGACCAAGCAGGTGCGGCACGGGGACACTGGGGGAGAGGAGAGAGGGGGGGGCATGGGGGGGGGCATGGGGGGGACATGGGGGGGGGCATGGGGGGGACATGGGGGGGGGCATGGGGGGGACATGGGGGGGCATGGGGGGGCATGGGGGGGCATGGGGGAGGGGGGGCATGGATGGGGGAGGGGGGGCATGGGGGAGGGGGGGCATGGATGGGGGAGGGGGGGCATGGATGGGGGAGGGGGGGCATGGGGGAGGGGGGCATGGGGGAGGGGGGCATTGCATCAAACGAGATGAGAGGGGAGAGGTGGGAAGGGCGAGTCACGGAGGGTTTTGAAGACCGCAAGTGCGATCTTGAAATCGGTCCGGGAGGGGGGGGGGGGGTGGTGGGATTGCATTGGGATCCGGTGGAAGGATCAGAGCGTTGGGGGGCGACGTGACCACGGGCGCGGGCGAGGAGTCTCAAGCAATGGAGCGTGAAGGTCCCGGCGCCAGGGTCGGGAGGCGTGGGTCCGCGCTTCACGGGGCCCCAGCTCGCGTGTCGTCGTTTCTCCTTCCCCTCCCCCGGCACGTGCAGTTCTTCGAGTTGCTCAACTTCTTGGCGGAGAGCTTCATCTTCTCGTACATGGGCCTGGCGATGTTCACGTACCAGCACCACGTCTTCAACCCGATCTTCATCGCCGGCGCCTTCGTATCCTCCGCCAAGCACCGTTCCGTTGTTGTTGTTTTTATTTTATTTTCCTTCCTGCCGCGTGAAAATGTTTCGTAGCCAGAGGCCCCCCACCCTGTCCCCTAGGGTCGCACGGTGAATCGGGGCGACCGCCTCGTGTCACGTGCTTTGGGGGGGGGGGGGGGGGGCTTCCCTGCTTCAACGTCACGGTGTCAGATGCTACACTTCCGGTTTAGTTTGAAGGCGTTCGTGGCACAGGTGACCAGGGCGCCCAGGGGTCAGAGACACGGAGCCGCTGGCATCCTAGGGGGTTTGAAATCCACTTTTCTGCCACCCATCCTAAGTCATTAAACCAGGTGCTCAGGTGTAATGAGTTGATGATCTCAGCCTGGTCAGCAATAATTGCGTTACAAAGTCGGTTTGATTCTGTCTAAATTGCAATTCTGAGCAAGAAAAAATGTTGATGCCCGTGAAAATTGTCTGCCAGTAGGGGCTGATGATTGCCATGTAAACTCCAATTGACTCATTTACGGTGTCATTTTCTTTAATTTTGGCAAGGTTGAAACATCACGCAGCACTCATTTCGAATATGAGTGAAGCAGACAGCCTAGTACTAATGATCTCGTTCTCGCAAACTGCAGTATTAACCAGGGCGACCTGCCGGATTCTAACCGCGAACCTCTGCGACAAGGGGCGAAAAGCGCGCTACCCCTCCCTGGTGTGGAATGGACACTGATTAAATCGATGATCATGAATGTGATCGCAAAGTTTTTTATCCTTGACCCAGGGTGCTCTCCTCTTCGTCCTCGACCGCACCGACCCCTCCCTCCTCCCCCCATCCCACTTGCCCCCCGTACAGCTGGGCATCTTCATCGGCCGAGCGTGCAACATCTACCCGCTCTCCTTCCTGCTGAACCTCGGCCGTCGCCACCGCATCGGCTGGAATCTGCAGCACATGATGATGTTCTCAGGTGTTGCGGGGGTCGGCTTCGTGCTACGTCGTTCACGTGGGACGGGGGGGGAGGGTGGGCGGGGTACGTGCGGTGACACGGCCTGGGTGGGAGGGTCACGCTCGTCCACCCAGGAAAGTGATCGCCGAGTCTCAGGGAGTTTTTACAGTCGGCGGGGAGAGCCGGGGCGGGGGGGTGGCGTGGGGTAGGTCAAGATGCCGAACCTCCGATAATTAGCGCGGTTGGCCACGTACGGGGCGAAAGCAGTTCCACATACACACGTACAACATTCATGTACATACTAACAACACGCGGTACAACCGCAACAACGCACGTCCGGAGGGCTGCACCGCACGCCTCGGTGTTACCGCCGTTGCTGTTGTTTACCTCGTCGTTGTCGTCGTTGTTTACATTGTTGTTGTTGTTGTTGTCGACGTGCCACCCCCAGGCCTGCGTGGGGCCATCGCGTTCGCTCTGGCCATCAGGAACACCTCGCTGCCCGCCCAGCAGACCATGCTCACCACCACGCTCTTCATCGTCTTCTTCACCGTCTGGTTCTTTGGCGGAGGCACCACTCAGATGCTCACGTGGCTCAACATACGGTGAGGGAGGGCTCGATGAGACGCCATTCTTGTCACTGCTCTCACTGTTACGGTCGTTAAATGTGGCCAGATCGTGACGCAGCGGCCCAACCGAAGTAAGAAAATTGCTAATCTTAATATTCAATCTAGATCTTAAGTTTTCGTGACTGCAGTGATCCATACGCTTTAGTTCTTTCGGTAAAGTCACGTAGGTATAAAATGAAATATATAAAAAAATTATTAGAATCTTAATATTGGCGACGAAAACGGTATACGTTTTTAGTTGATGCAAAAACTTTTTAATGATAGTATCATCATCAGCAGTAGCAACAGCAGCAGCAGCAACTGCCTTCAGTGTATGTATGTTGAACTTCCTTTGTACCGTACGTATCCACCCAACAAGCTAAACACGAAACAGTTCCAAAGAAATGAATTTTCAATCTAGATGATGATTTAAAAGTAGATAGCTCCAGTGGCTTCCTAATATCGGAAGGAAGAGCGTTCCAGACGGCCGCAGAAGCGCTTCTGAAAGCGCCGTGCGATGCGGTGACCGTCTTTGTCAAGAGCCGCTGTTGCGAGGATGAGCGGAGTTCACGTGACAGTTTATGTTCCTCGACGAGACCAGAGAAAACAAGAAACGGAGCGCGCGGATACGGGAACGTCCGCAAGCATCGACTGCTAGGGAAAGCAAGCTGGGTAGGACGCGTCACGGCTAAGAGGGACGGTGTCCGGTGGTCGAGACTGATGATAGAATGCCAGCCAAAGGAGAGAGAACGCGTCCGAGATATCGTCCATTGTGGACGCCACCTCGTGTGCAGCACTCAAGACCTCGACTGTCGCACCCGCAAGTCCAGCAGTGGATAGATAATGATCTAACGCCGATTAACGATGACGACGACGAAATACACCAGGGCTGAAGTTGCTCATTTGTTCCTTTCGGTGCGGCTCGCTTGCCCGTTGGCAGGAAATTTCCACCGGCGACGAGAGAGATACGGCTGCGGAGAGCCTCGTGCGGAGCCCAGATAATCTCCTCGGCGCGCCCACGGCCACCACCTGCGAGCTCGCGGCGGCAGCCACAGTGCCGAAGGAAAACAAATCTCTCTCTCCCGCGCGCACGGCGCGGGCGCGGGGAGTTGGGGGGGGGGCACGCACTCAAAACTATTTTGAGCACGGGATATTAGTGGCGAAGCAGAGCGGCGAGCAAAACGCTTCCGATCAGTGCGGTTGGTCGGCTGCGTAGAGTGCGAAAGAAGTTCAACGTCACACACACACACGTCGGTTTTCTGCAGGTGATGTGATCATTTTCGCCGGGCGGTAGTGGCTACGCACATGGCCTGTGTAATCCAGCTCCGTGATCAGGGCAGCGAGTGGTTGGTGGATCGTCGCTCGCAGATGTTGTGGAACTCCTTCCCTGTGCACGTCGAGGAGGTGCCCCCGTACCCGTCCAGTGCAAAATGTGGACTCCGCCTGCTCCCTCTGCATGGGGATAGCGTGTTTCACCCTCGCACGTGTGGGGTTTTCTCCGGGCGCTCCGGTTTCCTCCCACGTGTAAACACTCATTCATTGGCCGAGAACAACCGTCATATATAGAGGACCGCAGAGCTTGGGGCAGTTGTTGGTAGCGCCGGCTCGCCGCCTGGTGGCTGCTGCCTTCCTGCTTGTCTGTGGTACCTCCTACTGGCGCCTCTGAGTCATTTTCTCTCTCTCTACAGTTCATCAGGAACTTGCGGTCTGCGATTTTAGCGGAGATAAAGTCTGTGTCTCTCTCTCTCTGTGTCTCTCTGTTTGCATCTCTGTCTGTGTCCTCACTGCAGTGTGGGCGTAGACCCGGACGACGATTCCTTCACAGAACCTTCACGCAGAGTGAGTGTGGACCTCACTACTCACACCCCACCACTCACGCACCATCACTCAAGTACCCCACCACTGACTCACCTACCACTCTTGCCCCAACACTCACACCCCACCACTCACGCACCAAACCACTCCCACCCCACCACTCCCACCCACCACTCCCACCCCACCACTCCCACCCCACCACTCTCACCCACCACTCCCACCCCACCACTCTCACCCCACCACTCCCACCCCACCACTCTCACCCACCACTCCCACCCCACCACTCGCACTCCACCACTCGCACCCCACCACTCCCACCCCACCACTCACACTCACCACTCACACCCACCACTCACACCCACCACTCACACCCACCACTCACACCCACCACTCCCACCCCACCACTCACACCCCACCACTCACACCCACCACTCACACCCACCACTCACACCCACCACTCACATCACTCCCACCCACCACTCCCACCCCACCACTCCCACCCTCACCACTCGCTCTCCCCAGTCATTGCGATTGTCCCCTGTGCCACCCTGCTGCATCGCGCAGGACTCGTCCCAGGGCCTCGGGGGTCGCTCCACCAAGGAGGACAGCGCGTGGCTCTTCCGCGCGTGGTACAACGTCGATCACAAGTATCCTCCTGCAGCGCACGGTGTTCACGGCGGTGGGCGGTGGGTCGGAGGCGGGGGAGGGGGCAGTGAATGGTGGGGGGAAGGGGATGGGAGGCAATGTGTGGGTGGTGCAGGGTGGGGGCAGGGTGGGGGCAGGATGGTGCAGGGTGGTGCAGGGTGGTGCAGGGTGGGTGCAGGGTGGTGCAGGGTGGTCCAGGGTGGTGCAGGGTGGGGCAGGGTGGGTACAGGGTGGTTGCAGGGTGGGTGCAGGGTGGGGGCAGGGTGGGTGCAGGGGGGTGCAGAGTGAGGCAGGGTGGGTGCAGGGTGGGGGCAGGGTGGGGCAGGGTGGGGCAGGGTGGGGCAGGGTGGTGCAGGGTGGGTGCAGGGTGGTTACACTCGAGGCTCGCAGCAAGAAGTCCTGGGTTCGATTCCCGACCTGGGAGCAATATCTGCTGGGAGTTTGTGTGTCCCCTTTCCCTGTTCTGTATGGGTTTCCTCCCGTAGTTAATAAAATTATAATAAAAACATATAATGCAACGGATCCTGGCCAAACAACATCGCAATGCTGAAAGATTACCTGAAAATTTGATTGAAAACTCATTTCTTTCGAACGGCTTTTCTGTGTTTAGTTTGTTGTCCTTCCCAGCACCTCTGACTAGCACGGGTGGCTACGTACGGTGCCAAAGAAATTCCACATCCATACAGATGACTCAGTTTGGACTGCAGCAACGTCGTCCCGCCTCCTGCAAAAAACACTTGGCAGGACCCCTCCTCATGAATAAAAAGGTGTTGAGACTCAGCGAGGCTTTGCTGGACACCTGTGAAAAAGAGCTTTGCAGCTCATCGGATTCCTCCAGTATAAATAAATGTTGTGATTCTGGGTGGGGGCGGACGATGCCAGTGATGGCCCCGCGGCTCATAGTCACCAGCTCGTGTCACCGCTTGATCGATTTCTCGATCGCTCGCTAGTTTGCTTGATTGATCGGTCGCTCAATCGCTCGCTCGATCGCACAATCGCTCGAAGGCTCGATCGCTCGCTCGATTGATCAATCGCTCGATCACTCGATCGCTCTCTCAATCGCTCTCTCAATCGCTCTCTCAATCGCTCTCTCAATCGCTCTCTCAATCGCTCGCTCGATCGATCGCTAAATCGCTGGTTCATCCGTCGTTCCTCCCTTAACGAGCTCGCGCCCGCTCAGCTACCTGAAGCCGCTGCTGACGCACGCGGGGCCCCCGCTCACCGCCACCCTGCCCGGCTGCTGCGCACCCCTCGCCCGCCTCCTCACCAGCCCACAGGCCATGCAGGTGAGCGAGTGCGATTGTGCGCGTTTGTGCGCGTGTGTGCGTGTTTGGAGCAGCGGCGCTGTTGTTTGGCACGCTGCGCTACCGACCCAGCGGCACGCATTTGATTCCCGCTCATCGCCAACGTCAGTGACGAATATCTGAACCGGCCCTGGGCCTCGTCTAGGTCGACTCAGCCTTAAGTGAGTACCTGCTGCTGTGTGTAGAGCGACAGCAATACTGGGGAGGCAAAGGCAATCGGGTGAGGTGCCTGACTTAATCAGGCAACTCTTGCTCACGTAAATTGTAAATTTTTGCTTACGTATCCAGCCCTGAAATTTAGCAAAAAAGGAAGACTGGTCAAAGCGTCAAGGGTCAAAACAGTCCCCGCCATCATCCGTCTGTGGTCAATAAACTGAGTCGACCTTTGTACTAATTGGCCGTGTCGAGTGGTGGCGGGTTTAACTACACGCATTTATATTTGCGCGATCTGACCCAATAAAAATTAACCCGTAAAAACTAATTTTTTCACTATAAATCCTTTATATGCGTGTTCAATGGGCCACAACCCAGCCCACATTGGTCTTTGAAAGGGACGGCAAGAGTCCTCTCGTCCTCTGGCTTGAGATGGCTGCCACCTATGGGTCAGATGATTGCCTGCCACCATTAAGCAATTGGTAATTCAATAAATAAAAAATTCCTAAAATAACATTTTGGAAAAAAGAATTTCACGAAAATAAATTGTCACGCACAACGAGTCTGTGTGCAAAATGTCAGCTCGATTGGATCACGGGAAGTGGGTTAAAAAACGACCGAAAGATTTGCACGGTCGTAAGCAAGCAAGCAAGCACGCGAACTTAATATAAAGGATTTAAAAAAACCCCTCTATTATGGAGTTGGGCCAATGTGAACGAGTGGTCGCTGTTAAACGAGACACCGAGCCGTGACAGCTCTGTGACTCGCCGCGGAGGAGAGTGGCTCATGTGATGCCCTCGTTATCACCACCGCCACCGATGACCCCTCCGTGTGACCTTCAGAACGAGGGACGACTTCGCGACGAAGACGTCGTCATCCCAGAGACGGAGCTGTCATTCAACATCGGGGGCGGAGTCGATCCCAGCCACGCCCACCGGCACGCCAAGCCCCGCAGCGACGGCAGCGATGGCCAATCAGAGCGCGGCGCCTTCGGGGGGCCCTGGGGGCCGGGCGCCCAGGAGCTCCACCCCACTCACGTCACCGCCCCCTACGGCGGTGGCCCCGCCCCCTACGGCGGTGGCTCCGCCCCCTACGGCGATGGCCCCGCCCCCTACGGCGGTGGCTCCGCCTCCTACGGCGGTGGCCACGCCCCTTACGTCAGTGGCTCCGCCTCCGTGGAGTTCAGCTCCGCCCCCACGGACTTTGGCTCCGCCCAGACGGGATCAGGGGTCAACACTGGCAGTGTGCCCACGTAGAGAGATGGCCCCCCGGGGTCACGGAACACTGATGAACTGTGACGCAGGCGAAGCTGCCTCCATCGCAGCCGCTGCCCCGTCTCACCCCTCCGCTTGCCTCGTTGTCCACATCGACGTCACTACGTTCAGTTACAGGAGCTGGCGGTAACGGTGCCCGTAGCCGTGACCAAAATCGAGGATTTGTGAAAACGTGTTTAGAGTTTCATTTTTTTTTATTTCACTTGTAACAAACAAATAAAACGATCGCCCGTGTATCTTCTCGCAGTCGCTCGCGTCTCGCCGGTTTTTCCCGGGAGAACCTTCACGGCTGACCTCGTTGAAGCCAGCCGCGCGGCCGAGACGATTTCCCTTCCTTTTCAGTTTGTGTCCAGTAAACGCGATTCGGTGGTGGGACGTTAGAAAACGAAAATCGACATTTGCAGTGACCGGCGCCGGAATTGTTTAGCGGTTGCGGCGTCACCGCGCGGTTCTGCCCGGCTCCGTGGCTGCGTTTGTCCGAGAGGCGCTCTCGTGAGCTCAGCATAATAATCCGCGTCAGCGTTGGCAGCAGGCGAGCGTTGGTGCAGAGTTCAGTTTTCTTGCAGCAGGTAACTTCGAGCAAGACCTCTGCATGTATTGTGGGTCCTTGGACAACAACAAAAATAACAACGATATTTATCATCGACCAGTTCGTTACGTTCGCGCTGCACGTGTCAAACTCACGCCTTTCGATGCTGCCGCCAAACCGATCAATAAATTTACGACAGAAATTGGCCACGCCAGTACTCACGATCCCGAGTGAGGTTGAAGCCACCGGGCACGGCCACAAAGCGAATCGCCTCGTCGCTGTGTAAACGTTGCATCGCAGCCACAATTGACCTCCGCCGGCGGTGGCGGTGGCTTGAGGAGACCTTCATCCAGCAGTAGATTGACCACGTCTGGTGATGATGATGGTCCCGCAGAAAGCTCAGCACAGGTGCGAGCGCTCGAAAGGAGGCAGTGCCGAGTGGCGCGCTGTGTTTTTAGCGACCGCATGAAAGCACGCATCCACGCGCGAACGTGCGAGCGCACGGAGTCGTCACCGAGCCGTCAGCTCGGTGGCGGCTCCGTTTTCCCTCCACGACGATTTGCACTTGCGCCGCGTCGTGCGGGGCGCGCGCGTTGGGGCACGGGGGCCCCGTGCTGGTGCGTAAGAATATTTCTGTCCCTCTTCTGCCGTCGCCGTCGTCGTCGTCGTATAAAAACTTGGTGGGGCGACGGGACCCCCCCCCCCCTGCCTCCGCACACATCCAAATCCTCGCGACGGATTCGAGCGAAGGCGCCGACTCGTACGCCATTGGCGGACCTGTCTCGAAAATCAAATTTCTGTCTTGAAAACGAATTTATTTAGAACTTATTTTTGTGTTTTAGTCTGTTGTCCTTCCCCCGAACCTCCGATTAGCGTGGTTGGCTACGTACGGTGATGCAAAAGAATGTCAACCTACGTACATTACTTAGAGATGTGCTTCCGCATCAATGTGGGGGTTGACCTGGCGGCGAGTGGAGGGGGGGGGCTGCTGTGCATCCCTTTTGTTTTCTGTCTTTAAAAGCCCCAGCCACCTTTCACCTGGCGGCCGCCACGGGAACATTGCCACCACAAAGGGGATGCAAGTCAACCACGCCGCTCTGAACGGAACAACGAGGAGGGGCAGTGGCATGGCCGGGTGGTGTCGTGGCCAGGTGGTGGTGTGGATGGTGGTGGTGTGGATGGTGGTGGCATGGCCGAATGGTGGTTTGCTTGAGTGGTGGCGTGGCCGGGTGATAGTGTGGCCGGTGATAGTGTGGCCAGGTGATAGCATGAGTGGTAGGTGATGTGGCCATGTGGTATATGACCTTTGCCGTTTGTTGGAGAGGTTCGTGGTTCAAGTTCCGCTGGCTGCCCCGGTGAATACTGCCGGTCGCATTAGCCTCTAAGTCCGTGCCATCTGCATCACAGTGGCCGCTATAGACCCCCGTGGTTGTTATTACAAACGCTGTAGGCCACCCACGTGCACTGGCGGCATTGTCCGAATTTACAAAACTACTCACAAGTGACTGAACTGGAATAACCAATAACACCACAGCCTCCTGTTGGCAGACTAATGCCCACTGTCGTGTTGCATACATCTTGTGGTGCACACGGACAGCTGCCATCGGGGGGTCCCCTCGGCTAAGATGAAAAGTTCAGCTGGGCAACGGAACGATTGAGGTGCGTTGTAAGGCGCTCCGAGATGCCGGGGCATTTAAGCACTCGGACTCACCCTAACCCTTAAATGAACAAGATTGGGCCTTGCGACAGTCTTCCGAAGCGATAGGCAAGCGACGGTGTCGGTGGTTCGGAACTGTTTACAAATGCAGGGTACGGAGCGCCAGCGGGTGGCTCGCTCACATCATACCACGCAGCACCAGGGTTACCCATTGCATCGGCTTTCGTTTAATTGTTTTAGTTGATTCCCCGCGTCTGCCTAACCCTCGACTCGAAGTCGCCTCTCCGAGCCCCAGAGATGTATTCAGGGGATGAACTTCGATCCGAGCGTAACTACAAGACTCGCCACACTTGAACGCTGGGACATTCCCCTCCCGTAACAGGGCCAGGCAGAAATTTTTCATTTTTAAACATTTACATAAAACAAAATGTTGTAAATAATAATATCAAAGTATATGTACGTGTAACCCTAACTGCCGCACGGATGTCACGGTAAGTCTTTGATACCCTAATTGTTGTACTGCCCAGGCACAGAAGTGGAATGTAAAGGTAATTGATTTAACGGAGTGCTGCTGCTGCAGATGAAATATTATTGGTTAATCCGCAAATATGTTTGGCCTGTTTGCCTCTGCTCTAGACATGCATTGTGTGTGTGAGTCCTGTGTGTGCGTCTGTGCGTATGGGGAGCGGTGGGGGAGCGGTTAGCGCACCGCACTAGAAGCCCGATGAGTTCGATTCCCGCTCACGGCCAACACCAATCAAGATTAACTAAGCCGGTCCTGGGCCCCCCTCCCCTAGGTCGACTCAGTCTCAAATAAGTACCCATCACCACTGGGGAGACAAATGCGGCCGTGTGCGGTGCTGCATTCTCCCCCCTCCCCGCCTCGTGTGCTGTGTCGGCCTTCATAGGTGCTCGCTAACAGCACTTGGCCCAAACGTCTGTTTAAGGCTATACGGGGATCGTTGTCTTTGTGAGTGTGTGTGCACGTGCGTGTCAGTGTAACAGCTTTGTGGAGAGGTGTCGTAGTGGTTAGCGCACTGCGCTACGAACCCGGTGACCCAAGTTCGATTCCCGCGCATGGCTAACATGGAGTGGCGAATAACGAAACAGAGCCTCGGCTCCTAGGTCGACTCAACCTTAAATTAGTACTTTGGTGCGGAGTATAAACTTCAACACTGGGGAGATAAAGGCGGCCGGGCGTGGTGTTGACCACACCACCCCTCTCGCCTGCTGTATCCACCTTCACAGGTGCTCGCAAACACCCCCTTCCCCTACAGCCTTTCCGAGGCTATCCCGGTGGGGTTGATCTTTTATCTTTGGCTTCGTGGTGATGATGGTGGTGGTGGTGGTGGTGTGCATGTTTAAATGCATGTGTGTTCCCCGGCGACCCGACATATGCTCTACGGGCAATCTAAGATTTAAATAAACATCGTGTTTCCATTTTGGAGAAAGTTCTCCTTGTTGTCGTTGGTTTGTTTTGTTCCGTCTGCGTCGAGGTTTAATCCCGACGGGCAATCCCCGGGGGCTTCTCCGTCGTCTTCCAAACAGTTCTAGATTTGAAGCTTTCGTGACCGCAAGGACTCATACTCTTAGGTTTTTTCGGTAAAGTCACGTAGGTAAGGTAAAAAAATGTTTTAATAAAAAATCACGACGTTTCGGAGGCAACACAAGCTTCCGTCTTCAGGTGGAACCGTCACAGCACAATAGCTGTATCAAGTAAAGAGAAATTCCAAGAGACCCGACCTTGTATATATACTGTTTCAGGGGGGGGGGGGGGGGGGGAGCCAGGATAGGCCCCTGGATCGGAGTTTTTGTTGTAGCTTTAACAGTTGTTGTGTGCTACACTTTCTAAACATTGTACCCGGTACAGATCAAACGGTAACAACAACAACAATTGCCGCAGCTCTGCCGTCCTATAGCAACTGTCGTGAAGCAGTACAGGGCGGTCCAGATGTCCCGTGACCCCCCCCCCCCCCCCTCCATTTCAATCTCTAAAACTTACTATATTTTTGTAATAAATCTTTATTCAAACATAAATGTACATGCGAAAGAAAAAATGTTAGAGGTCAATTAATTGGGGGGGGGGGGGGAGGTGGGAGGGGGGTCACAAGACATCTGGAGCGGTGGCGCAGTGGTTAGCGCACTGGACTACAAACCCGGGCGACTTGCGTTACAATTCCCGGCCACGGCTAACATCAGTGGCCAGCGCTACGTGGAACTGGTCATGGCAACCCCACCCTCTCCCCTCACCAACAGACACTGAGTGACCAGCGTGGCGAAGTATGGACAAATCAACGCCCCCCCCCCATCGCAATTACAACCTGAGGGGGAGGAGGGGGTGTTCATCCAGCAGTGGATTGGCTGTAAGTTGTATATCCACATTGACGCAGTGCATACCCCGTCTTGTTTCTCATGATGATGAAGGTGGCACTCAGTTTCTGCTCAGCGTCTCGAGGCACACTGCGATATACAGGGCACGTCGATGCTGCGTAATTGTCTTCTAGTGGATTCATTCGCGTCGATCTCCGGGCGTGGCAGCTCTAAACAACGGGCGCAAGTTTCTTTCCAGAAGAGGAGGCTTGCCATCACAAAGACAAAGATCCCCCCCCCCGTGTAGCCCAAAGAGACTGTTGGGGCAAGTGCTGTCAGCGAGCGCCTATGAAGGCGCTCGAGGGGGTACCCGTTTGATGCTGAGTCGACCTAGACGGAGGCACAAGACCGGTTCAATTAATCGTCGCCAGGATCGTAGCTCACGCACAAACGAGACGTGGCATGATCCCAGAGCGTCCGTCGCCTGTTGCTGAGGTTGGCGGTTCGAACTCTATCGGCCGCCCTGGTTATTACTACTCGTGCAGTGTTAACCGTAAAGATACTACTTCCCGTGACGAGTAGGAAGACGTTGTGTGTGCCGGTCTTGTCAAATGCGACGAAATAACAGCGCAAATGGTGTTGCACATCGCAATACCAATTCATAACGCACAGCGAGGCTTTTCTGGGTAAAATAACCGTCATAATTGATGATTACTCACAATGTTCATAATTGATGATGATGACTCACAATGTTCAGGCACGAAGGACGACAACAGTGAGGAGAACAACGAAAGTTGTGTACGTATGTTGGACTTCTTTCGCGCCGTACGTAGCCAATCGGAAGTGCGGGGGAAGGACAACAAACGAAGTACATTAACAACAACAACAACGCAGTTGTCAACAAATCCATGTTCAATCAAGACGATTTCAAGGTGCATCAGAGCGCCCAGTGGCTTCCGAACATCGGAAGGGAAGAAACGACGCAGAAGCGGCACAGCTGAGAAAGCGCCGCGCGACGATGATGATGACGATGATGATGATGACGACGATGATGATGATGACGATGATGATGACGATGATGACGACGATGATGACGATGATGATGATGATGACGATGACGATGATGACGATGATGATGATGACGATGATGACGACGATGATGATGATGACGATGATGACGATGATGATGATGACGATGATGACGACGATGATGACGATGATGATGATGATGACGATGACGATGACGATGATGACGACGATGATGATGATGACGATGATGATGATGATGACGATGATGACGATGATGACGATGATGATGATGACGATTATGACGACGATGATGACGATGATGATGATGACGACGATGATGATGATGACGACGATGATGATGATGACGATGATGATGATGACGATGATGACGACGATGATGACGATGATGATGATGATGACGATGACGATGATGATGATGATGACGATGATGACGACGATGATGATGATGACGATGATGACGATGATGACGATGATGATGATGACGATGATGACGACGATGATGACGATGATGATGATGACGATGACGATGATGACGATGATGATGATGACGATGATGACGACGATGATGACGATGACGATGACGACGATGATGACGATTATGATGATGACGATGATGACGACGACGATGATGACGATGATGATGACGACGATGACGATGATGATGATGACGACGATGGCGATGATGATGACGACGATGACGACGATGATGACGATGATGATGACGACGATGATGACGACAATGATGATGATGATGACGATGATGGCGATGATGATGCGATGACCTCCGTCTTTGTTTAACAGGCAGCCAAACGCCGCCGCCACCGCTGCTGCTGCTGCTGCGAGGATGCCCGGAGTTTGGAGTGTGTCGTGACGGTGACTCATGCGAAGTGCTCACGGCTCTCCACCACCGCATTGTCTCCCCTCCACCCCCACCCCACGGGTCGTCCTTGTTCAGATCCAGAGGAAGTTGCCCCGGGACGCCGGACAGCTGAGCGGGTATCCCGCGACGCTCATGACCTCACGACACAGCGCCTGGACGACGCGCACCCTCTCGGCGCTCAGCGTCCTCCTCCAGCCGCTCAGACTCACGTTGGCGTCCCTGGGGCTCACGGCGAACGCGGGACGGGGCCGCGCTCGGGACGGGAGTCGAACCTGGGTGCCGTCGCCCTTCGGGGAGGGCGCCTCCACCAGCGCGTTGAGCAGCGCCGAGGCGTCGGGGCTGGGAGGGAGGCCGGCGAAGGTGTAGAGGGAGGAGAGGGAGCGCTCGGGGTGCGTCAGGAAGTCTTCGTAGCGCAGCAGCAGGTACCTGGCGCGCAAACGGGACAGCAGTACGGACACGTCACATGGCGATACGCCGATTTTTTTTTTCCATTGGCACAGCCGAGCGGAGCTGACGCGGAGGCGCTCTCGGTACGGGTGGGATTCCACCAGCTGTCAATCAGCCAAACCAACTCATTCTGCCACCCAAACACTCAGACACTCATTCACATACTAACTTGCCGATACACTCATCTACTTACCTATACACTCACCCACCCACCAACCTACCTTTACATTCACCCACCCATATACTCATCCACTCGCTCACCTGTGCCGTAGCCAGGGCTCCAGGATTCCCTGTTGCACTCCCTGAGCAGAGCTCCTGCACAGCACCTCCATGAGATTCCCCGTAAAGTCCACGCGAGAAAGTGGTGGTGGTGGTGGTGGTGGATTCTGGTATGGGACATTCCGCTGCTGCTGTGCAGGTCGCGCATAGTGGCGGTTACCACCACCACCAGCAGCAGCACGGGTATCAGCAACGTCACCGTCAACACCAGCGAAATGATCTGCACCAGCAGCGCCAGCACCAGCAAAGTTCGCATCAGCAGCACCAAGAGCAGCAGCAGCAAATAGATCAGCAGCACCGGCAGCTCCTGCACCAACCCCAGCACCACCACCACCAGGGGCAGCGGCTACGGTGCTGCTGCTGGTGCTGCTGCTGCTGGCGGTGGCGTTGTAGCGCCGTGGGGGGAGCAGTGAGCGCGCCAGCTGCGCGCTGTCCCGGGCGAGCGCGCGCCGCACGCGCTGGCGCGAGGCGGCGACGGCGCGCGGATCCCGCAGGAGGTGCACCACGCGCACGTCCAGCGCGCCGCCACGACCCTCCTGTCCCTCCTCCTCCTCGCCCCCCTCGTCCTGCTCCTGCAGCAGCAGCGGCCTCAGCGCGTGCAGCTCCAGCAGGCGCACGTCCTTGACGGCCACGACGCCGAAGCGGCGGCACTGCTCCTCCAGTTGGCGCAGCGACACGCGGGGGCAGCGGCGTCCGCACGCCGCGCCGCCGCTCCTGGGCACAGCCCCGTGCCTGCTGCTGCTGCCGCCGCTGTCGCTGCTGGTGGTGTTGGTGGTGGTGCCGGTGGTGGTGGGCATGGGGCAGAGCGCTTGCGAGCACATGACCTGGATGGTGGGGGGTGGGGGGGGCAGAACAAGATAAAAATACACAACGCCTTGTCTGAATTTAATTCGTATTCACATAAACATGTGTGGCGCGCGCGCGCGCAGCGACGGGTTTCGTTCACGCTCAGCAAAACGGAGAGAGAGAAATGTGAAGAGGAAGCATGAGAATGACGGAAGAGCCGCCAAGGAAGCCGGCAACATCGTGCCGACAATTTCCCAATCTCTGCGTGCCCTTTACGTACAAGTCCCGAGTCGTTTGGCCAACACCCCCCAAATGAGTTTCGAACCAAACTCCGGGACTCCTCCATGTGTCGCCAGACCCCGCCGAGCGAGCCACCAGCCGCCCTCCGCTCGCTCCGTCTCAAACAATTCGGCTACCTTTCGATTTAAAGCTTTCGTGACTGCAGGGATTAATCGTCTTGGTTCTTTCGGTAAAGTCACGTAGAAGGGAAATAATAAAATAATAATAACAGGTCTGTCTTGCCGACAGACCTGTTCTTCACCTGAGGACGGCTGCTTGCGTTGTGGCCGAAACGTCGTGAGAATTATTTTATTATGTTGAATTTTTATTATTTTATTATTTCCCTTCTACGTAACTTTACCGAAAGAACCAAGAAGAATTCGGCGACCTTCACCCATTCTGGACTCCGCACGCGTCTAGACGATGTGGCCAGAATATCGTCGTCCACGTGGCCATAAGCCGCGTTCGTCGAGTTATCGTTCCAGGTCGCTTCTGAAAGAGAGCCACATCGCCGCTCAGTGGGCCTGAGCTGGTGAAATAAATAATAGTTCATAGTTCTTGACCTGAAGCTTTCGTGACTGCAGGACTACCGAAAGACCCACAAAGTATATATTTAAAGCTTTTGTGACTGTAGGGATTCATCTTCTTGGTTCTTTCGGTAAAGTCACGTAGAAGGGAAATAATAAAATAATAAAAATAAAACAATAAAATTCTTTTTTTTATTTTTGATTTTATTATTTACCTTCTACGTGACTTTACCGAAAGACCCACAGAGTATATATTTATACTCTCTGGTTCTTTCGGTATCAAGTAAAGTTCATAGTTCATTCTGACGGTGACGACCCCCCCCCCACCTCTCTGAGTAGAAGACCCACGGCACCGCCACCTGTCCGCACCTTGTTACGCTGCCATCCGAAGAGGAGCCGCGCGTCGTCGCGACCGCGGATGAGCGGCGAGAGCGCCCGAGAGAGGCGGCACTGGAAGAGGTCACGGAGCAACTCTACGGCCTTGGGCTGGAGCTCGAGGGCCCCGCGGTCAGGGAAGGCCCTCCACAGGTGCCACAGCGGCTCGAACATGTAGAAGACGGCCGGGTGCTGGTTCAGGAGCTCCCCCACGAACGAGGAGCCAGACCTCCACGTGGTGTGGATGTACACGTGGCGGCGTGCACGCGGCGCTGCAGCTTCTGCCGGTGCTCGTGGTGATGGTGGCGGTGGCATCGGGTGTAAAGCTGTTCCTGCTGGTGCTTCTGCTGCTGCTACCGCTAGTGGTGGTGATGATGATGATGACGACGACGCAGAGGGCGACCACCCCCGGGCGAGTCGCTGCTGAGTTCGGTACCACGCGGCCGTGGCGTTCGAACGCCGCGGATTCGCGTCCTCGCACGGGTCGAGCAGGAACGCGGCGCCGGCCACCGCAGCCGCAGCCGCCGCGTCTCTGTTCGCCCAGCGACGCGATGGAGAGAACGCACCCTGAGTCCACATGAGGAGCACCGCGAGGCCCATGGAATAGGCTAGCAGCAGAGCGAGGAGAAGCGAAAAGACGCACAGCCTCGCACGCATTGCGCGCCCCGTTTCCCGGCCGCGAGGAGTCCACAGGGCCGGGTTCGATCAAGGCCGGCGGGGTCTTGTGCGGTCTTACGAACGATGGAGAGAGCGAGCGAGCGAGCGATCCAGGGAAGTGACGCGAATCGAATTCAACTTTCTGTTGGGGGGGAAAAGGAAAAGGGTGTATCCGTTATTCGACCACGAACTTGTTTGTAATGATCGAAACGACGAAGAGGGACACACGTGTCCTTCCAAGACGCGTGGCCTGCGTATTCGCGACCAGGAGAGAGAGAGAGAGAGTGTTCCACGATCTGTGATCGTTGCCCTTCCTCCGCACCTCCGATTATCACGGTGAGCTACGCAAGGCACGAAATAAGTTCAACAGACAGACAATAAACGCATGCGTTCGAGATGCGGTGAATGCAATTAAAATAAGCCACACGTTCATTATACTCACGTCCAACCACAGTCACAATCATATCAAATTACGGCTACAATCGTGTCCAATAACGGTTATGATTGTAATCAATGAGCTATGATCAAATCCATTAATGGTTACAATCCTGTCCCGTGATTGCGCGCTGCTGGAATCCGAGCACTGACTCGGCTCTCTCGCCGACGGAGTGAGTCAGTCCGGACAATTTTGAAATAATCAAATGGCCACATCTACTACTGCTGCCGTTGCGACGAAGGAAGGGGAAATGAGTGCACGTACAGGCAGTGCTCTTCCTGTGCGTGGGTGTGCGTGTGTATGTATGTATAGAGGCGTGCAATGGTGAGCGGTGGTGCAACGGTTAGCGCACTGAGGCCACCCCAGTTCGATTCTCGCTCACGGCCAACAATAACGAATATCTGAACCGGTCCTGGGCCTCCCCTATGTCGACTCAATCTAAAATGAATAACTGGCGCAATGTGTAAACATCGCAACTGGGGAGACAAAGGCGGCCGGGCGTGGTGCTGGCCACCCACCCTCTCGTGTGTCGTGCCGACCTTTATAGGTGCTCGCTTACAGCACTTGCCCCAACAGTCTGTTAAGCCTATACGGGGGATCTTTGTCTTTGTATACACGCGTGTGTGCGTCTGTGTGTGTGTGGAGGGGGTTTTCATTGGTCGCTCGCTAACAGCACTTACCCTAGTAATTTGCTGAGGCTATACCGGTGAACTTTGTGTTTGGGGGGGGAGCGGTGGCGCCGTGGTTGGCGCACTGCGCCACCCGAGTTCGATTCCAGCTCACGACCCTATAACAGTGGAAGCGAACAATTGAACAAGTCCCACCTAGGTCGACTCGGCCTCAAATTAGGAGGCCGCGTGACGTGTTAACGTCAGAGCGGTGTTGGCCACCCAACCACCGGCGTTCATCACAGCCCTTGCCCCAGCAGTCTGGCCCAGGTTACACGGGGGATCTTTGTCTTTGTGTTTTCGCGAGTTTTTAGCGGAAGCAGGTCAACCCTGGGTGCACGCATATCTGGGTTCATCTTTCACGCACACGACGACAATAACCCCCCCCCCCCCCCCGCGTAAGCCTTAACAGACTGTTGGGGCAAGTGCTGTTAGCGAGTAGCAGCACCTATGAAGGCCGAAACGACACACGAGGGGGTGGGTGGCCAGCACCACGCCCGGCAGACTTTGTCTCCGCTGCAGTTGCGATGTTTAGAGACCGCGCCAGGTACTCATTTGATGCTGAGTCGACCTAGGGGAGGCCCAGGACCGGTACAGATAATCCGTCACTGGTGTCGGCCGTGAGCGGGAATCGAACCCGTGTCGCTGGGTTCACAGTGCAGCGCGCTAACCGCTGCACCACCGCTCCCCACACACACAGAGACACACACAGACAGACGGCCGCTACTCGCAGGGCCCCCTCGTACAGAAGAGGGTGCTGTCACCAACAACCAGCAGCTGGCACAAGCGTGACTCACAATGGGAACGCGCAGATAAAAATTAGGAACCAGGCTGTGGTTGTCTGATGGATGGACTCGCCATATGAATGTGGAATTTCCACCACTGGCTCAGAAGATGGGCACCGCCGTCAATGTCGTCCATGAGTCCAGACCAGGCTGGTCACTTGTCGGTACCACACATAAGGTTGCATAACTTTAGTAGTTCACATTTATTTAACTACCTCGCCTGGTGTGTAGGAGGTCGTGGTTTGGATTCGGACCCTGACGCCCGTATATTTTGGAGTCTGCGTGTCTCTCTCCCCGTGGTCGCGTAGATTTGTCTCCGGGTCCTCCGGTTTTCCCTTCCACATTTAGAATTAACGTGCGTTTACAGAATTTGGCTGCTTTGAATGTCCACGTGATAAGCCACTTCGTTGTGATATCATTTGTGGCCAGTAAGCGTCTCAAAAAGAGCTATTTAGTTCAGTGGGCCTTACCTGGCAGAAGAACAAAAATTTGTTCAGTTTATGTGGCCAAAAACAGTGAATTAATGATCAATTCGTTACAAGTGGCAATATAATATATCTGGCTGTGTTGGGTGGTGGAGGGTTTTAATAAACACAAATTCGGTAACTTGGCCAACCCCGGGACATCTGTGAAAAGGAGCTGTATAGCTAATCGGATTCCGCCAGTATGAACACACATTCCGATTGTGACCCCCCCCCCGCCCCCCTCAAATATATCGTACATTTTGAAGAACTTTGCTTTGTTAAAGCGTTCGTTTGCTCGACTGTGGGTGGAGGAAGTTGGAGGAAGATTCGGGTCAGGGTTGGGGGGGGGGTCTGGGTCTGATTTCCGTAAGTTTTCACCACCTCAGTGTCACCCAACCTCCTCCACCCCCCCCCCCCCCCGTGTCTTTGTGGTTTCCGCACCGCGCTAAATCACGAAACGGAAAACGTCCCCCGCATGTTTTGTTCCACTTTTTTTTAGTATTCGTCCACGCTCACTGTATCGGCGGATCTCGGAAGCTAGGCAAGGTTTTTTTTTTATTTTGGGGCCTGAATATCGCTCCGCGGTTGGCGAGCACCTCGCATTTGAAAATAACAAGGCGCGTGACGTATAGTGGGAAGCAGAGAGCAGTTGCAGCAAAGATCCCCTGCTGTGCCGTGCCGTGCTTGTATACTTGGGGGCGCCACGGTGGCTAGGAGATGTCAACTACCTCGCCTGGTATGCAGGAGGTCGTGGGTTCGATCCCGACCCTGACGCTTGTACGTTTAGGAGTTTTCGTGTCTCTACTCCCCCCGTGGTCGCGTGGATTGTTCTCTGGGTCCTCCGGGTTTTCCCTCCACATTTAGAATTCACGTGCGTTTAGAGTATTTGACCGCTATAAATTTCCACGCGATTAACCACCTCGTTGAGCTATCATTTGTGGCCAGGTCGCATCCGAAAAATATCGATATGACTCAGTTGGCCTTACTTAGTAAAATAAATAAGTTTAAATAGCCTGGGGAGGTATGGCCAAATAGCCCCCCCCCCCCTACAACCCACACCGCGTGTCACTCTCAACAACAACAAAAAAAATGTTGCATTGTTGGGTAGTATATTTGAACCAAAGGTGGAGGTGCCCAGGTAGCTCAGGGGTCAAAGTGCTGAGCCGGAACAGCTGAGATCCTGGCTTTGGAACCGAATTTCTGTCGCCTGTAAAGCGACCGGGCTTCTCACGTGCATCGAGTTGATGGTCTGATCCCGCTCGACAGTGACTGCACCCACACACACACAGCAATGTAGCACGTCAGATTCGGCGTGGTTTACATTAAAATCTGCCGCATGCCAACTTAGAGAGGTAAACAGTTCAGGTTGAGAGCCGTGCCCCCGTGGGTCGATGATGATGAGCATGAGGATGACCGGACAGCCAATTCTGGTCAAGATGTTTAAGGGATTACATCTTGAATCATTGGCTCACTTGATGCAGCACATCTGGCTGTGACGGTTCCACCTGATGACGGAGACTTGTGTTGCCTCCGAAACGTCGTGATTTTTATTTTATTTTACTTTTATAATTTTAATGTTTTACCTACGTGACTTTACCGAAAACACCTAAGAAGATGTTGCCACTCAATCGCGGCCGTCTGTCGCCAGGGAGCTCGGTGTGGAATGTGGAATTTCCACCACCCACCGACTTCACCCGCGATCAGGTAAGCAACTTCGTACGATGCTGCGAGGATCGGTTTGTTGATGGGTACAAAGCCGAGAACAGGCAGAGTAGCCTTTTCATCGAATCTGGTTCTCTTCACCTTGAATTCAGCGAGCGTTGTGTTCTTGTATTCCCCATCTCCATGCAGCTTAAGGAAGTGTTCCCTTAGTTTTGCCGGTGCTAGACTAGAATTGCTCAACTTGGCATTGCAAATCATGCAGTTAGGAGGCTGACTCCCATCACGTTCCGTTACACATGCGAATCCATATTGTACATATTCGTCCGACCACTTTCTTTTCTTGCTCGACATAGTTAGTATGAAGGGATCAAAATATTAAGAAAGAAATCACACGACGTACCATCACGACAGTCACAAGTCGACTACCGAGCGCACCAAATTCGCTGCAGCACAGATAGGCCAAGCGATGTAGCGTGATCACTTGCAGCCAATGATGGCCAAGCCGGACGTGTCATCACGAATCATATGAGTCAAGTGTGTGTCTTAACCTCCGCCGAACCCCTGAGACTGACTCACCGAACCCCTGGGGTTCGATCGAACCCAGGTTAAGAACCACTGGGATAGATCATCCTAGAGAGAACGGAATGCGCGGGGCATGCATAATACAGTGAAGCTGCTCTCTTATCTGCATTGTACAGGTAGGAACAATATGTTCCACACTGCCCACCAGGGATTTTTTGTCTGTCTGTCGTGCATAAATATATATATAATATAAACAGCCATTTGATTGGTGGAGACCGACTGCCGGGTACGGAGAGGGGAGGTGCCTAAGGGAGGAGGGTCAGAGGAGGGTCTAAGGATATGGGGGGGGGAGGGTGGTCAGGGGAGGGGCCTAAGGGAAGGGGGGGTCAGCGGAGGGGCCTGAGGGGGGGGTGGTCAGGGGAGGGGCCGAAAGGGGGGGGGGGGTCAGGGGAGGGGCCTAAGCAAGGGGGAGGGGCCGATAGTGAAGGGGGCTGTCTGCCTGGCTACCTCAAGTCACGTGATCTTGTACACAGGTAGGAACAACAGGTTCCACAACTGCCCACCAGGGATTATTTGTCTGTCGTGCACGAATGCGCTGTCCAACCAAGTTCCTTTCTGCCCACTCCGAAGGAACGTGTTTATTTGTGACCTACCAATGTCTGCAGCAGCCAGGATCAATCGATGACAATCCTATTAGCTGCAGATATTTAACAGATGAGATGCGTTGCACCGTTGATTCCTCCTGTTTGATCATTCATACTTCTCTTGTCCGTTTACATCTGTACAGACAGGTTTTTTTTTGCGGTTAAGCCATAGTCCCCACATACCGCTCGTATCAATGCGGATAAGAGGAGCGGCGACCTACTACTCTGTAGGGCAGGGGTGGGGAACATTTATTCTGCCAATGGCCATTTGGATATTTATAACATCATTCACGGGCCATACAAAATTATCAACTTAAAAATTTGCCTGTTATATTTGGTCAAACATTTAATTAACTCACCCCTAATGCGATGGCTGGAACTGGTTCTCTTTGGCGAGGCGTGTGATGTTAGCTGGTATTGATGTTGATACTCTCAACTGCTTTTCCAGGTTTGCTTCTAGATTTATTGAATTTCGAGTCCCGCCTGCGGTTGCCTTGGCAGGGCCGCACCAAATGATTTCGCGGGCCGGACGTTCCCTACCCCTACTGTAGAGTAACATCGGTATAAACGATTGTTACTATATGAACAGCGCATTGAAAACGCGTACTATTTCACGTACTGTTTACAAAGTGTGTTCACAAATTTACACTGAGAAACACGATGATTCACAGAGGGGTGTTCATTATTTTTTCGAGTGTATTTAAATAGAGGTACTGCAGGTAAGTAGTTTTCAGTTTTAAAGGCAAAGTTTAACAAGACAACACTTGCCACCATCCTTCAAAACCATTGGTGAAAAATAGCAAAGTTCATTATTAGGACAAAATAAGGCGAGATGGGTTTGGCATATTAAGAATAATTCAAATGTTATCATCAATCCTGTACAAAAACACTGCCCCTTTCTGCCTATTTACTGCGTCCTCAGATGGATTGTGTCTGTGTGTGTATATGTATACGTGTCTGTGTATATGTATGTCTTTGTGTTTGCCTGTGTTTGCATCTATGTATCTGTGGTAGTGTAGCAGGTAGCGCTACGCTGCGCTACGAACTGGGCGAACTGAGTACGATTCCCGCTCACGGCCAACACCGGTGACGATTATCTGAACCGGTTATGGGCCTCCTCTAGGTCGACTCAGCCTCAAATGAGGACCTGGTGCGGTGTGTAAAGATAGCCACTGGGGAGGCAAAGCTGGCCGGGCGTGCTGATAGCCATACTACCCCCTCGTGGGGCCATATTTGTCTTTTAGTGTAACATCACTTGCCCAAAGTCTGTTCAAGCCGAAACGGCAGAGGTCGCAACCGGGTACCCGATACCCGTACCCTACCCGATACTCGGCTACCCATACCCGTACCCGTTTGCGACCCTGGTGCGGCCGGGTGCGGGTAGCCCGTGAATCACTGGTGAGTCACCGTTTGTCACTCATTTCCCAACGTCTTGTCTCTTCTCACAATTCAAGTTCCTAGAATCAACCCACCCGCGCCTGCAACATGGCTTCATCCCAGAGGTCGCAATCAGGTACCCGATACCCGGGTACGGCTGGGTACAGGTACCCGTTTGCGACCCTGGTGCGGCCGGGTACGGGTAAGGAATCAAAACCCGTTTGCGACCTCTGCGAAACGGGTACTCCTTTGTATTTGGTTTGTGTGTGTGTGGTGCCCTCTGCTGGCCGCGGTCTCTCCCCGCAGCTTCTGCATCAGCTGTCGTAGCAACATCATCATCATCAACATCGTCAGTGTCATCATCATTAGCAGCAGGAGCATTAGCTTCAGCAGCAGAAACACGTTGCCAGCAACAGGCAGCAGTATCATTCGTAGAAACAGCATCATCGGCAGGAGCTATTTAATCAACAACAATTTACCGGACAGTTGTGATTGGTCAAGCAACAGTGTGAGTAGGTGAGTAACCCTGAACCCGAACTTCCAACCCAAACTCTGACCCCCCCAACTCAAACCCCAACCGCGACCCAACTCCAACCCCAACTCTATTTCTAACACGGCCCTAACTTTAACCCAAACCCCGACTCTAAACACCCACCTCCACTCCAACCCTAACTCCAACCAAAACGTGGCACACCCCCGGCTAAGTGAACAGACGACAAAAAGTACGAAACAAAATTCGACGTTTCGGTCCCGACACGCGCGCCGGTCAGGTTTCGAGGCCGATGTTTGTTGCCTTGCGATGATGCGCGGGGTTCACGGAATGCGGTCGCCGTCTCTGTCGTTGCGATTCTCACACCGAATGAGAGGCCACGATTTGTTACTGGTAGAAACCACCTGGTTCCACCAGCCCACATGGGATTATTGTGTCCGTCCGTCCGTCGTGAATCGAAAAATGGGAGGGGTCGGGCTGGGTGGAGAGGGGAGGGTGAGGAGGGGAGGGGCTGGGTGGGGAGGGGAGGGAGGGGCTGGGTGGGGAGGGTGGGGCTGGGTGGGGGGTGGGAGGGGTGGGGCTGGGTGGGGAGGGGCTGGTCACCCCGTGGTGCCCTTATAAAACTCAACGTTTAACCTACTCACGCCGGCTTGTGCCCGCCCTCACAGTCGGGCATATTTGCGGAATACACCACGCCGCCGTTGACCCTGGCCATTGACCGAGCAATCCAACGTTCCTACCAGGTCCCTCCGCAGGAATGTGTTAATTTTGGGGGGGGTGGCGCCTCTTTGATGAACACAAACCCGAGCCCCCTTCTTCCTCTCTCGCCACTCGGCCGCCAGGTGCAGCCAGGTGCAGCCAGGTGTAGGTCACCGCAGGTACGGTACCCCGCGTGGATGGATACCCAAGTTCACTGCTGGTTGAGTGTTGGCGATCCTGCCAGCAACAAATAAAAACACACAGCCCTGTTCCATTGTCTTTTCACGCGCACCTCCGCCGAGCAACGGTTGGCTACGTAGGGTGCGAAAGAAGTTCCAACGCAGACGCGCACGCGTGTCTTCTGTACAATGAGAGTGGAGACAGCAGCAAGGAGGGAGGGAGAGAGACGGAGAGCTGCAGACTGACACCAGGGGCACCTTCTCGAGGGGAGGGCAACGCAGCAGCAGCAGCGCATATGCCCCGTACCAACACGGGGAGAGCGAGGGGAGAGACACGAAGGCGGATCACGACCTGTGCTGGCTGGAAGACCTACTGGAGATGACCTTCGCAAATGTAAAGAGGAAAGTGCTCTACTCCTACATGGTCCGGTTTCACCAACAGGACACCCTGAGGAGCCACAAGGACCATGCCTGGAGCAAAGCCCTGCCCTGCATCTCTCCGGAGAGGCCGCGTTGGAGGCAACTCTACTCCAGCCAGACGTACAACCGCATCGGTGACCTCAGCTGGAGCATCGCCCACGGCACCGTCACCACCAACGCCTCCCTGGCGCACTTCACCGACACGTCCCCGGAGTGCCGGTTCTGCGGTAAAGTGGAGACGGTGGCGCACCAATACGTGGAGTGCAAGAGCCTGGACTCGCTGTTCAAGGTCCTGAGAAACATCCTCCTAAGGTTCAGCCTCCCACTTCTCCCCGACGGTCCTCATCTTTGGATAGCCGAAGGGCGACGGACCCCAACATCTTCAGGGGCTGGTCAACGTACTCGTCGGCTACGCCAAGCTCGCCGTACACAGGGCGAGGAAGGTGGCCCTGGAGGGGAAACGTCCGGCCAGCAGCCTGGGCATCTTCCGCGCTCTGGTCGGAGCCAGGGTGTGTGGGCTGGAGTTCCGCCATGCGGCGCGGCTGACCCACGCCGTGCCGGCCTTCAAGGAGCAGTGGGCGCTGGAGGAGGCCGTGTGCTCAGTGGCAGAAGACACGGATAGCTCTGCATGGAGATATGAGCTACCCGTCGGAGGCCGTAGGACTGCGAGAAGGGCTGCGTGCAGAACAAGAGAGAGCGAGAGAGAGAGAGCGAGAGAGTGAGGTAGAGAGTGTGTGAGAGGTGGGGGTTTACATAAAGCAAAGACAAATAAATACGAAATGATGAACGAAGCAAAGTGCCGACTACACCGAGCATCTTCTTGTTTCCTCTGATCGTAAAAAAAGAGACAGGGAGAGCGAGAGGAGAGAGGAAAGCGAAGGGAGAGAGACGGCGAGAGTGAAGGGAGAGAGGAGAGCGAGGGGAGAGAGAGAGGGGGGAGATCTCGATGAGAATCAGGGGATAAATAATTGAGAGAGAGGGAGGAGAGGAAAGAGGAGAGAGGTAGAGTGGAGAGCTTGGGGAGGAGAGGGAGAGCGCTCGTGGAGAATCAGCTCCCGGGGAACGAGCTGACCCACGCCGTGCCGGCCTTCAAGGAGCAGTGGGCGATGGAGGAGGCCGTGTGCTCGGTGACAGATGACGGGGAGCTCTGCGTGCAGATGTGAGCTACCCGTCGGAGGCCGTAGGACTGCGAGAAGGGCTGCGTGCAGAACAAGAGAGAGAGCGAGAGAGTGAGCGAGAGGGGGGGGGGGATTACATCAAGCAAAGTAAAAAAAAAATACGAAATGATGAACGACGCAAAGTGCCGACTACACCGAGCATCTTGTTGTTTCCACTGATCGTAAAAATAAACAACCCACGCCGTGGCGGCCTTCATGGAGCAGTGGGCCCTGGAGGAGGGCCGTGTGCTCGGTGGCAGAAGACACGGAGAGCTCTGCGTGGAGACATGATGGGTGCAGATGCAGCACTTGCCGTAGTTTAAAAAAGAAAAGAGAGAGAGAGGAAGAGAAGGGGGGAGAGCAAAAGAAAAAGACGTTTGGAGAGAGGGAATACATCTGGGATGGAGAGGAAGAAGAGAGCTCAGGCAAAGGAATTGATCTAGGAGAGAGCTAAGGGAGCGAGAGAGCTTGGAAAAGAGGGAGATTGGGGAGAGGGAGGAAATCTCAGAGCGAGAGAAGGGGTGGGGGGGGGTAGCTGAGATAGCACGGGGAGAGGAAGATGGATGAGGGAGAGCGAGATCTCGGGAAGGATCTCAGGGAGAGGGAGGAGAGATCTGAGAGAGCTCGCGTGTAGCTTGGCAAGATCTCAGAGCGGGTGAGAGAGCGCAGTGGGGAGCAGGGAGAGCGAAGAGAGAGAGAGAGCTCGGGAGAGGAAGATCTCTGGGAGCAAGGCGGTGGGAGACGCTCTCAGAGCGCGAGAGGGAGGAGAGCGAGCGAGCGAGAGGGCTCTGCTCGGGGGGGAGAGAGTGAGAGGGAGAGAGGGAGGGAGGAAAGAGAGAGAGGGCGGAGGAGGAGGAGGAGAGGAGGAGGATGATGCCCGCGTGCTGGTGGCGAGGCGCGGCATGTCTGTTCAGTGCGCGGCGGTAGCGAGCGCCTCCGCTCTGCTGGTGGGAGCCGCGGCGCTGCTCGGGGTCACCGCGCTGGAGGGGTTCCCCTCCTCCTCGTGCGCCCTGCCCGGACTCACCTGCGGTTTGGTCTGCGGCCTCTCTGCCATCCTGCAAAGGTGCGGGGGGGGGGGGGGGGAGACGCGCCGGGGACGGGGAGATAAAGAGAGACGGGGGGGGGGGGGGGGCGAGAGACGCATTCAGGGAGAGACGCTGGGAGAGAGACGCTGGGAGAGATTTGGAGTGAGGTGCATGCCGAGAGGCACGCACGGGGAAGAGACACGCAGGGACAGACTGGGGGTGATGTAGAGACTGGGAGAGACACACACAGGGAGAGACACACAGGGAGAGACACACACAGACACAGGGAGAGACACACACAGGGAGATACACACACAGGGAGAGACACACAGGGAGAGACAGACACAGGGAGATACACACACAGGGAGACACACACAGACACAGGGAGAGACACACACAGGGAGAGAGACACACACACAGGGAGAGACACAAACAGGGAGACACACAGGGAGAGACACACACAGACACAGGGAGAGACACACACAGGGAGAGACACACACACACAGGGAGAGACACACACAGGGAGAGACACACACACACACAGGGAGAGACACACACAGGGAGATACACACACAGGGAGACACACAGACACAGGGAGAGACACACACACACAGAAGAGACACACAGGGAGAGACACACACAAGAATATACAGACACAGGCACAGGGAGAGACACAGACGCAAGGAGAGGCAGACACACATAGAGACAGGGGGAGGGAGGAACAGACAAGGTGAGACACGAGGTGAGACACGAGGTGAGACAGCCGTTCGGACATAGACAGGGAGATGGAGGGAGCGTGAGGGTGGTGGATGGTCGGGGAGGTGCAGTGCGCATTTTGTAAGCGCTCGTCACTGACTGCAGAGCGGTGGAGCGCGACTAACGTGGTGTGTGTGTGTGGTGGTGTGTGTGTGGTGTGCGTGGTGTGGTGTGTGTGGTGTGTGTGGTGTGTGTGGGGTGTGTTTGGTGTGTGTGTGGTGTGTGTGGTGTGTGTGTGGAGTGTGTGGTGTGTGTGTGTGGTGTGTGTGTTGTGTGGTTTGTGTGTGTGGTGTGTGTGTGTGGTGTGTGTGTGTGGTGTGTGCGTGGTGTGGTGTGTGTGGTGTGTGTGTTTGGTTGATGTGTGCGTGGTGTGTGTGTGGTGTGGTGTGTGTGTTTGGTGTGTGGTGTGTGTGTGTGGTGTGTGTGTGTGTGTGCGTGGTGTGTGTGTGGTGTGTGTGGTGTGTGTGTGGTGTGTGTGTTGTGTGTGGCGTGGTGTGTGTTGTGGTGTGTGTGTGTTGTGTGGGGTGTGTGTGGTGTGTGGTGTGTGGGGTGTGTTTGGTGTGTGTGTGGTGTGTGTGTGGTGTGTGTGGTGTGTGTGTGGTGTGTGTGGTGTGTGTGGTGTGTTTGTGGTGTGTGTGTGGGGTGTGTGTGTGGTGTGTGTTGGGTGTGTGGTGTGTGTGAGATGTGTGTGTGTATGTATGTATGGTGTGTGTGTGTGGGGTGTGTGTGGTGTGTATGGGGTTTGCGTGTGTATGTATGGTGTGTGTTTGTGTAGGGGGTTAGTGTGGTATGTGTGTGTGTGTGTATATATGAAGTGTGTGTGTGGGGTGTATGTGTGTATGGTGTGTATATGCCAGATGTGTGTGTGGCGTGTGTGTATATTTATGGTGTGTGTGTGTTTGGGGTGTGGTGTATCTGGGGTGTGTGTGTATGGTGTGTATGTGGGGTGTGTGTGTATGCTGTGTGTATGCTGTGTGTATATGAGGTGTGTGTGTGAGGTCTGTGTATGTGGTGTTCTTTGTGGGGTGTGTTTGTGTGGTGTGTGTGGTGTGTGTGTGTGGGGTGTGTGCGTAGTGTGTGAGGTGTGTATGTGGTGTGTGTAGCGTGTGGTGTGTATGTAATGTGTGTATGTAGTGTGTATGTAGTGTGTGGGGTGTATGTGGTGTGTGTATGTAGTGTGTGTATGTAGTGTGTGTGGGGGGTGCATGTAATGTGTGTATGTAATGTGTGTATGTAGTGTGTGTGGGGGTATGTAATGTGTGTATGTAGTGTGTGTGTGTATGTAGTGTGTGTGTGTATGTAGTATGTGTGTATGTAGTGTGTGTGTGTATGTAGTATGTGTGTATGTAGTGTAGTGTGTGTATGTAGTGTGTGTATGTGTGTATATAGTGTGTGTGTATGCTGTGTGGGGGTGTGTATGTAGGTTGTGCGTATGTAGTGTGTGTGGGGGTGTATATGTAATGTGTGTATGTAGTGTGTGTATGTAGTGTGTGTGTGTGTATGTAGTGTGTGTATGTAGTGTGTGTATGTAGTGTGTGTGTGTGTATGTAGTGTGTGTGTATGTAGTGTGTGTGGGGGTGTATATGTAATGTGTGTATGTAGTGTGTGTGTATGTAGTGTGTGTGTATGTAGTGTGTGTGTATGTAGTGTGTGCGTATGTAGTGTGTGTGGGGGTGTATATGTAATGTGTGTATGTAGTGTGTGTGCATGTAGTGTGTGTGTAGTGTGTGTGTATGTAGTGTGTGTGTATGTAGTGTGTGTGTATGTAGTGTGTGTGTATGCTGTGTGGGGTGTGTATGTAGTGTGTGTGTATGTAGTGTGTGTGTATGTAGTGTGTAATGGTGGTAGCAGCAGTGGTGGTGATGGTTATAAGGTGACGGTGTTAATGGTGATGCTGCTGGTGATGGTGTTAATGGTGATGTTAAACTGTTCCCGTTGAAAGGAGCGTTGGTGATGATGCTGTTGATATGGCTGGATAAATTGGTAATGGTGATCGTGATGTTGCTGGTGATGGTCGCAGTGGTGGTCGCGATGATGATGCTGTCAAAGTGGTAGCAGTGGTCATGGTGATTTTTGTGGTAGTACAATCCTCGGTACCGATGATGGCCGTTTTAGTCACGATGGTGGTAGTGAAGTATTGATGCCAATAGTGATTGTGGTCATAGTGGTGGTAGTTGCTATGGGATGGCAGTGCAGGTGATGGTGAAAGGGTTGGTAGGTGCTCGCTTACAGCACTTGCCACACAAGTCTGTTGAGGCTATCCGGGGAAGCTTTGTCTTTGATGCTGGTAGTGGATGGAGGTGAGGATCGGTAGTGCAGCGGCTAGCGACCCGAGTTCGATTCCCGCTCTGGCCAACACAAGTGACGACTATCTGATTCAGCCCTGGGCCTCCCCTAGGTCGACTCAGCCTCAAATGAGTACCTGGTGTGGTGTGTAAACATCGCCACTGGGGAGACAAAGGCGGCCGGGCGTGGTGTTAGCCAACCACCCGCTCGTGTGCCGTACCGACCTTCATAGGTGCTTGCTGAAAGCACTTTCCCCAACTGTCTGTGCAGGCTATATGGGGGATCTTTGCTGCTGCTGCTGCTGTTATGACTATATTTTCCAGTGATATAATTATCAGTCTCTTAAAAAAAATACTTTCGCATAACTGCATAACGTGCTTAGACAGATTTAGCACACACACGCGCGCGCGCGTAGCCGTGCGCCAAATCACACACACGCAAACACTGCACCGGTGCCTTTGTCAATTCCCTCCAAAGCCAAACCCCCTCGGCTGCCCCAATTCCGTTGACCCGCTACAGATGCCATCACACTCACGCGAGACGCGCCGCTATGCACCGCGTATGCAGCAGGCATGCAGACCTCCCTACCTGCCTATCACAGTCGTGTTGCGTAGCGCAGGGGGTCTGCAACCTGCGGCTTCTGATCGGCATGCGGCAGGTCTCTATCACGTTGCATTGCGGCTCTTTAAATATTGAGTCGTTTTTTTTAAATTCTATACTGAATTCGGAAAAAACGTCTCTTTTTGTTATTTTGTTTGACGATCCCACCCCCTCCTCCTGCTTACACACACGTGGATGGGAGCGTCTATCACGGGCGGGCATTTACCGAAGGCGTCAGACAGGCCCAGAGTTGCTATTAGTCTCCGCTCGTTTACTCGGGAATAGCCCTCGACGAGTCTCATGACCTCCTTTCAGGAGGGTGCTGCCACGTCTATTATAGCAGTCCGAAGAGCGCGACGATTGATGACTACAGTCGACGCAGATCCCAATTGAGTAAGCTATCTTATCGTGCATTTATACAGCGCCTTAACCTTCACGTGCCTCAAGCAAGGCGCTGTAGAGTGAAGAACTAAGTATGGTACAAGGATGGTTGGCGAGATGAGACGAGTGGGTGGGATTTGTGTAAAACGAGGTGGTGGTGGCGATACGTGGAGTAAACGAAGATGGAAATGAGGTGAGTGGATTGATGGTGGGTGACCATGGGGAGTTGGGGACAGGGAAGGCGGCGTGAGAGCTGAGTGGGGAAGACAACGAGGAGAGAGCAGGAAGGGTGAGAGGCAAGAGAGAGTGAAGTGGGTTGTAAGGGAAGAGCGGAAGGCAGTGAGAGAGGGTGATTGCAGTTGTACATTTTCAAATTTTGCAAATTAATAAAATTATCCATAATAGAGGTTATTTTTGGTGAGATCGCGTAAATATAAATGTGTCGTTAGACCTGCCACCACCCGACACAGCCAGTTAGTAAGGTTTGTCACGTAAACAGAACGTGCCAATTTGTTACTAGTTCAGCACATCGTTGTTTTGGAGAGTAAACCCACAACATTTACAATTCGAGGATGACGTTTCGCCGGTAATGACATCGAGCATCATCAGGCGACAGCCAGAGATAATTGGTTTTTAGAAGTGAATATATATTTATATATACCGTCAAGAAATATGGGAGGCATAGCCATTAGGCGAATGTGTGTGAGGTGGCTCACAATGGCCATGTGAAAACGCATTTCTTGATAAACTGCTTTTTTGTGTGTTTAGATTGTTGTCACCTCCGTATAGCACGGTTGGCTACGTACGGTGCGAAAGAAGTTTAACACACACACGTACCATACATGTCTGAGCCACTGAGCTGGCACCGCTAGGATTGTCCGCTTGGGGTTGGCTACGTTCAAGTCACTTCTCTTTCAGAAGGCATCTCCTCTTTAAACTCAGCCACTTCTTACCCACACCACAAGCAGCCCATTGGCATTGATGTAGAGCGCTTTGGGATGTTATGGAAGCCGCT